TCAACAGTTCTATTGTATTATGATCAAAAAAATATAGTTAATTATCCCTTTCATATTCCATCGTCAATATTATGTTTGAATGAAAATTGCTGAAGTGATTAATTGATCAAGGAGCGTGATCCGTATCGTCACATATAATGAAAACATCATCAAAAAATATGGAATAGTATGTTGCGTCCTGGATTTCATGGTTTAGTTTGTGATGTTTTATAAATAAAGTTAATAGCAAAGATTGGTATAATTAGTGACCCCATGGCCACTCCATCAGTTTGTTTGTATAGTTCAATGTCGCATTAGAAGTGAACCCTTTTCAAACAAAGTAATATTAGTTTTCTTGACCCATTTTAAGGCAAAGGAAGTAGTTCAAATTGTTTTAAAATTATATTAATAGTCTCCTCTAACGTTACGGTGACGAATAATTAGCAAAAATTAATAGATATCAACAATATAGGGTTGTTAAGATTGTTATTATCATGTGCTATCTAATGACTAGATTTGAGAGGGAATTCCCGGAGTTCTAGTGAGAAGCCATGACCAGTAGAGTTAATCTGTGTCAGGTTTGAGGCATTTTCTCAACAAAGACAATGGAAGATGGTCATTCAATATCGTGAACTGGTTGAAGTTAGACATTAATATAGTTGGATCGCAGCTCAGTTGTCTAGTAGAGATTAAGAGTTCAAGCGAGACCGAAGGTCGTGGGTTTGAGTCACACGTGCAGGGTCGCGGATATGCACTGCTGAAGAGTCACATGCTACGACGAAACAGCCATTCAGTCCTTCCAGATTTTCAGTAATGGTCCAACATTAATCGGTTCATAATTTCAATTAAAAGAATTTATCTAATATGTACTCAAATGATCCATTTCTCTAGAATACTAAAACATCTTTTAAACTGTGAAACAATTTTTCTACGAACTGGTTTTCATAATTTAACTAACCATCAAACCAACTTATGATATGATGAGTTCACCTTAAACATTATAGATCTTAATGGGATACAGGATTTGTGAATTTTAGGGGGATCATGCATTAAGAGCAGTACTTACCGTTTTGCTGTCAGATTGCTACTTAAAACTTTTATGAACACTGCTTCTGATTGCTATTTTTCATAGATTTATGAACTTAGAATCCTGAAGTACCATTGAGAATGTGGAATATTTTATACACATAATCTTTCTGATTCATTATTACAACAGCGAAATCTTTATTTGTCTTATTATTCTTTTGCAAATTTTTCAATGCTGGCACATGTTCCTTAGTTAATATTTTTGAATGTAAGTTACCGAAATACAACATTGATTTAACCAGTTTGAATATAAACCAGCCTATTCTGCCTGCATTCATAGGTTTCAAGTCGGTTATTTGTTAGTACAGACTTTCGAATTACGTTAGTATATCAACCTTGCTGACAAATTTATTCGGGATATCAAATTTAAATCCAAGAGAGAGTGTGTGTGTGTTCTACTCCAGAGATTCACGGAATTCTCCATATATTCAGTCTTTCACCAGGTATTTCATTAGTCTTTTGTCAAAAGATTTGGATGTGTCACGTTTTTGAGAGTTCTCAGACGAATTTTGTAGAACTAATTCGGCAGATGATATTAAGATCATCAATTAGTTTTTTAAATAAATACAGCTCGTACTTCAAAATTAAAGCAAACGTACTAGATGACTTATTATGTACTTATTACTGTCAATATCAATAATTGACTACTAGATAAGAGGTCATTTTACCGATTATACAGAAGAACGCCAAGTAATTGTTAATAAGTTATTTTTCGAAGTCCTAGTAAGAGGCTGTAATGCGATCAATCCAATGAAGACACAACTCACCAATAACCTTCGGTAGAGACAATGTTACGTTACTTTTGTATTCTTACCCATTCTACAAACAATGAGATTCGTTAGTTTCACCAATCTATTCATTGATGCGGTTAATATGAAACGCGAAATCCCACGTTTCTTAATCCTGAATAAAAACATTAGGTCAGGTGAATGGTCGTATGTTATGCATTCGTAAAATGTAAAATGACAATGCAACACAATTTATCGATCCCAATAGGTATGTAACAAGGATGATTTCAATATAAAGTTAAGTAACAAATTTTAATTAATTAACTTGTAATTTATTAATGGAGAGAAGTATGACAAGGATTAATACATTAGGAAAAATAGTATACAATTAGGATTATGCAAGAATAACAGGAAAGAAAACTATTCTATCATCAATATCACTCATAATATGGGTTTGAATTCTCTCATTGTTTATTCAATGCGAAAATCAACACCTTAGTTTATTTACATTCCAATGTTGACGAGTTTAAAATAGGACAAAACAATAGCCACAATTCACCTAATGGACGTAACAGGTATTTGTTAAAAAATATATGAAGAAGTTCACTGGAAATAAATGCTAAGACGGAAAAATAATTAAATGGTAAATTGAATGAATATTTACATTCTACTGTATATGGAAATTCTAGAAGAGAAATTTCTTTTAAACACATGGAGACACACTTGTAAAAAATAAAAATTGATTTTAAAGTTACGTAATAACAACATGAAGTCTTGATAAATTAGTAAAGATAAGTAAATATAAATGATATAAGAATAAAAGGAAGGAATTTGTTATTGAGGATAAACAAGAAAATATTACGTAACTGAATGATGAAAATTAGAAGTTACTATGGCAATACAAAGTTATGGTTTCAACTTTTTAGTTGATGTAGCCTCAGGTTAATGTAGTCAGTAATTTGGGTATTAATTGTTTTCAATGATTTTAAAATATCAACATTGTGTTCACTATGAAGTAGATGACGGGTAATGACACGGTTGAAAATACTTTGGATGGGCTCCAAGATCAGAACCCGTTTTGCTCTTATAGTGTAAGTGATCTAACATTGAACACAGTGGAAATTTGTCTACTTTTGTTTGTTTCTATGAAAAACCTGTTTCATACAATGAAACTAGTTAAGCAGGTGAATACGTCCTTCTCAATTCGGTACTTAGTCTGAAATGAATCATGTTGGCTGTTTCACCAACTTTAATGTTAAGCTAGAAAAATACTGAGTTATTTTATATCTTAGCATATTCCATTTCCTTTACTCGATTTTTATCATACTTACTAATAAACTTTTATTGGTAATCAAACATTTGATTTCATTTCATTCTGCCAAAATTGTTATTCTCAGTTTAGTCAAATGAATAATTTCGTTTTAAGCTGTTAACATTTTTTTCTATCCGGTCAACGGACAATTGTTTATAAATACTATTACCTTCTTGATGATGGCGGTAGTAGTTCTCCAAGTTTCAGCTCCATAGAATAGACCTGTCTTGATGTTCGTATTGAAGATTCTCATTTCGATACTACCTGACAGTAGTTTTGAGCGCCATATGTTCTTCAACTGCAGGAACGCGGTCCTAGCTTTTCCATCTGCATCAGATACTCCATGTTCATCGATAATGCTGCCTAGGTACGTGAAAATTTCTACCTCTTCCAGAGTTTCTCTATCAAGTGTAATTCGGCTGGTGCTCTCCGTGTTGTATTTGCGGATCTTGGTTTTCCCGTGTGTATGTTGAGGTTTCCTGCTACAGAAGCTGCTGCTACACTGGTTTCTTCACCTGCAATTGTTCGTGCGTGTATATATATGCTGAAATGATCATCCAATAGTCAAACGAAAAGTAGAACATGTGTACATCAGTTCAAGTGGACAAACCCCTTTAGCGTAGAGACATGAAACTATTAGGACAGATGCCGCCGTAGAAGAGATAGTAACAGTATTAATGCTCATAGAAAAATTTAGCCATTGAATATACGTTTCAAGAAAATAGAACTAAGTCGGATATAAAGAGTAAAAGGAATTTAGAAACTTAGGATCCAACTCATAACTAGTTTGGTTTCAAATACAGACTTGGATGTACCGGTTAAATATTCGTTCTTTGTCAGGTTTCGGAACACAATATCTAATGAAGTTTGCAGTGACAAATGAAGTTTGTAACGGAAACGATCTTTTATTCAACTGATATCAGTTGGTCTAGAGATATGCCATTCTACAGTGATTTGTTTTTTTCAATTAGCGAATTTTTCTAAATCTCTTATCAATAGTAATACAGTGGTTTACGCTCGGAAATTCGAAATGATAAATTTCGACCCAGATAGATCTCGGAGAACTGAACTACTAGCCATATATAAGCGAAATGTGTAGCCAAATTAGTGTACCTACAAGTTAATAAACCAACCAATAACTACTCAACTCTGTTCACTTATTACGCAGTGAAGCATGCAGAAGTACGTGTTTTGCTCGACTGTAGCAGAAACACTGGTGTTAGTATTTTACCTAGTTGAACAAATAAATAGTTAAAAACTATCCGAACTTCATCCATCTTATTTTGACAGTTCATCAGTGACCTATGCAGTTCCAGAAGTAAATTAAAAACTAGTCGTTTGCTCTAGTTCAGTTTCCGTGATAAATCAAAGTAGCAATTTATTCTCTGCCAACGACTTCAATTACACGATATAGTATCATTAATGTGTAAAGTTTGTCTTCAAGCTACTCTTGTTTCTTATCGTACTTACAACCATAGTTAATAGATCTTCATACATCGGGTAGTTTTGACAAGATAAAAATCAGTTATTATTCCGAAATAATTATTAGTTTGTCTCATCTTAAATATTCACTTAATCCTTTCTTTTATGTTAAAGAGCATTTAACAGGTAGTAGCAAGATATGCACAAACTGATTGAAATTAGGAGCAACAGACCATTGAATTCCAATTCACGATAGCTTATAATGAGATAACTGAAAGACCCATGGGTTCTGAGTTCGATTCCAGACAGAACAATGAATGTATACTCCCAAAGAGTTTTATGTAAAAAGAAACATTTTTGATCAGTCCTTTCTATTTCTTAAGCGTACTTCAAGTAATGTTGACTCGTGAATAAATCATTATCATATATACATATACTGCAGACTTCACACAAATCCAATGACGAAACGAAGTGCAGCGCATATATATTTTATTAGAATTATACAAAATACTTGACACATGAATGGTCAAATAGTAAGAACACCTTGATAAAAAATAATTTCAATGGACAATTTTTCAACGCAATTAACACAAACAAGCAAAAGTAAAAAATAAGATTATAAAGTGAAAACCAAATAAACCAAGTATACATATAAGTGCATTAAAGAATAAGATAATAGTGAATGATAATTTCACACCTAGGAAATAAAAGTGAGTGTGCGTGACATGAGGTTGGGGTTCAATTTATTCCCACTAATAATAGAGATAATATGTCGTTTTGTTTTCGCTTCATATAATAAATGAGTTCATCAGTATAAGATAATCATTTCGAGTTTTTCATTTTGATCACAGAATGTAGTAATATGAAGGAGGAAGAAGTTGGTATGATTGGTAAATTTAATTAGAATATGAATTGTATATTAATCAAACAAGAAAGCCAATAGCACATACATACACAAACACGGACTCACACAAACCTACGATGATACAGTAACACAGAAGACGTTTGGAAGAGTTGTCGTCTTCAACGCTTACAGTTGAATTCAAAAAAACTTGTTAACAGTGAAGTTAATTGATTTTGACATTCTTACATTATAGGATTGGATGTTAAGATCAGAAAATAAGAATCATATTTGATAATTCCTTTCACAGCAAGTAGTAGTAGTACAGTGGGTGGATGGATATATAGAAGAATTTGACGCAAATAGTAGTAGAAAAGTACAAACTAAACACAAACCCGAACACATGGAATTGGAGAAATAATAATATAGTAGGAAAATAGAAATCAATGAAGTCTATAATAATTTACACACAGAAAAACATATAATATTTAACTGACCATCATCATCGTCATCAGCGGGATAAGGCTGTGTTGAAGGCGGTAGAATATTTAGGGAAAAAAAGGATTGAGAGAATTGTCTTTTATCCCCCATACATTTCAAATCAAAAACACACGTGATTATTTTGACGAGTTAAATGTGGTAATGTTGTTATTTGTTTGTGAATTGGAATGGGCACTATTACTAATAGTAGTAGTGGTAGTGGTGATTGAGGTGTTACTTTTGGTACAAACCGTAATTTCCATGGTAATCGTAGGTGATTTCATACAGGTATATTGATTAGTTTTAATCGCATTAATGAAGATTTTATTAATTCTATCTGGGACTGAAAAGTGAACAATAGAACAATGGCTTATATATAAACATTTTTTTAAAAAAACATGAATTTGTAAATAAAATTTATTTTTCTTGTATTAACTAATTCATATGTCAGATACAAATTTATGTACTTGGTTTTAGTCCATACTACATTGTTGGTACAAAGACTGGTAACAATTACCTGTAACTGTTCAGACCATACGGTAAGTGAACCAAAGTTTGAAGCTTTAGAGTTAGTAGGTTAGAATTTAAATGACTTAAACATTGAGTCACCATTTCATTCAAATTATTAACATGACGATAGTGAAATTTAAAGTTAAGTCACATCATTAACTGAAGAAGTCAATGAAAATCAGGGAGCGTGGAATAGATATTGACTGCCAAATTTAAGCTTCTTAGTCGAATATAAATTTGTATCAACTCATGTGCTTGTTATACCACAATAATACAGTGAAATGAAATGACCAAAAAAGTATAATGTATAGTATTGAAAATAAATTTAGTTGGTCGCTGAATCTAAACAAATAGGCGCACTCAACTTACTGACTATTAAATATGTGATTTGCTATCTTTTTATTGATTTCTATTTCGGACTCACTAAAAGTGGCTGCTTGTAATTGTATGGAATTAAGTATTGTCTAGTGTTATTCTGGTTCTCTATTTTCGGTTGTGAATCATATATCTGATCTAACGTTATCTAGTCTCTTTATTGTGTATCGTTTAAGTATCCGATCTAGAGGTATTATAAACTCGATCACCTAGACTAGTCTGAACACCGGTTACTGGATGCCAAGGACTTCATCTTCTGATTTTGCTTCACTGTCTTGTGGATTAGACCTCTAGATAAAAGGATCGGGGTGTGGTCACCCAAGAAAACCACCTGTTTCAATTTGGGCGTCCGGACAATACTCTAGACCTCACATAACACCAATGACGAAGTGCGGCGCATACATATTTGGTGCTTATGTATTTAAATAAATAAATAAAATAAATTATTGTATTAGCGTAGCTGTACCGTAGAGAGAGGAAATATTTTAATTCATCGATCATATCGAAAACGACAATGAGAAAGAACATAAAGAATATGATCCAAAAAAGTAATAAATGAATTTGTGGGAAAATTAGAGTGCAATAAATATTGAATCTTAAGACTTAGAGAAAAACAAAGGATAAATGTAGCTGAGCTGTTTTGACTAATTGTAGTTCATGTAATTGTGAAATGTCACAACTGCTGTCAATACATTTTTGTAAAAAAAAAAAAAACAGTACTACTTAAACAGAAGTAACATTAAACTGTTTCATAGGTTATGTCTAATATGTTGACATTTACTAGTGAAGAAAGCATTGAAAAGGTAAGACAACAGGATCAGGAACAAATTAACTGAATCACGAAGGAAATCAAAATTTACTGGATCAGTTATACAAGTGAATATTGAATTGATGAAAACATGAAGACCGAACTGAAAGATATGGTGGCTAACAATGAAATCCAGGACGCGCATTCTTTCTCTGTCTGAAACTCGTCAGTTGGATATATGTGCATCCGTGTTAACTTGTGTCATAATGGCTATATATCGAGGTCATCTGCACAGGAAGCTCATATGCCAACCCAAGATGATCAAATTTTAGTCGAAATATTTACGGGATAATCCAAGCAATCCCGAACTGAATTCAAACTGGGAGATGTTCATTCATTTATTGGTTGAACTTTCTGGTAGTAAATCCAACATAAAGTTATCTCTACAGAAGCAACTGAATTTGTAGATAAACATCGGAGACAAACTCCAGTAACTTATCCTTTGTTTGAGTACATATAACAAGTCGATTAGAAAATTCAGATGTAAGATTAACTACGAATAAAATTTTCTTTTTAATTTCCCTCGTCAATCTACCATAAACGACAACACTAGCTACATCCTTGTTGAATTGTAGTTTTAAAAATATCTCCAATATTCTTTTTCCATGAATACATGTGGTTCATTGAAGGTAGCCAAAATCCATCACCATGTTATTAAATAATAAAATCTCTTTCTTATGGCATAATCTGAGTCAGTCAGTCAGTCAGTAACAACGTAGAACTTCGTACGTACGTACATCAGTTCGAGTTGCCACACCGCATTAGCACAGAGATGCACTTGTCGATTCAAATCCCGTAGTGGTAGAGGTAATAAGAGTATAAGCAGTAATCGGGAAGATTAGGGTTTGGAGATGTTATTTAAAGAGTATAATACAGTGAAAAAAATTTGGAAAGAGGAAAAAAGGGACATGAAGAATTCAGAAGATTAGAATTTGGGAGAACACAGAGAGTGGATGCACCTGCGCCATTGCAAACGATTTTGAGCCATGTCATTCAGGGTCTCTAACCATCGGTTGCTATCATCTCGCGGTCCCCAACCAGGTAGTCTACACCTACCAACATGACTCAGTTCACTTGTCAGTGACTTCATGGACTTGTGCCATGTTTTGATTTGGCCGCCCCTAGCTTTCTTCCAACCTACTCCTATACCACTGAACATAGCACGTCGAGGCAGTCGGTCGTTGGGCATACGTAACACGTGTCCCAGCCATCTCAACTGATGAAGTTTCACTACTTCATCAATTGATTTGCCATCCTTACCTAGTACCCGTTTCCTAACAACTGTGTTACTTACTCGATGGTCCCATGATATACGAGCAATGTTTCGAAGACACCTATGATCAAATACTAGTAACCTACGGATATCCTCTACTCTTACCGGCCATGTTTCACTGCCATAATATAGGACGGAACGAACTGCTGCGCAGTAAACACGTCCTTTGGTTGATAGACGGATATCTCGCCTACGCCATAAATGACGCAAGTTGGCAAAAGCTAGTCGAGCCTTCTGTATCCGTGCTGAGATTTCGTCACACACTAAACCACAAGGGCTGATGAGACTTCCAAGATAAGTGAAGCAGTCGACACACTCAACTACTTCACTCCCTATCACTAGTTCGGGTGTCGATGTAACCCAATCCTGAAGCAACATTTTGCATTTCGAGGGAGAGAATCGCATCCCGAACATGCTTGCATTGTTGCTTAGAGTGGTCAGAAGACTCTGCATTTTGTCAGCGTCTTCACCAAATAAAACTATGTCATCAGCATATTCTAAGTCAACAAGTGAACCTCCTGGTGGAAGTTCAACCCCTGTAAATTTAGATGAGGAAAGTGTTATCTCTAAAAGTACGTCAATGACAAAGTTGAACAAGAATGGGGAGAGTGGACAGCCCTGACGAACACCACTTGAGGTAATCAATTCTGATGACAGTTCGCCATAAGCTCTCACTCTACCAGTTGTGTTCGAGTAGAGAGCCTTTATAAGGTTAATGTACTTCTTTGGTACTCCTTTCAGTGACAAACACTGCCATAGAACCTCACGATCAATAGAGTCGAATGCCGCCTTAAGGTCGAGAAATACTACCATTGTGGGGCGTCTGAATGTGTGTCTGTGTTCTAGAACCTGACGTAGTGTGAATATCTGATCTATACAACCACGTCCAGGTCGAAAACCAGCCTGGTTTTCTCTAGTCTGCTCTTCACGAGCTTTAGTTAGGCGTCGAAGTATGATTGAGGCTAATATTTTAGACACTATATTAGTCAAACTGATTCTTCTGTGATTGTCACAAGAGGACTTTTGTCCTTTCTTAAAAACTGGCACAATCAGTGATTGAGACCAGTCAGATGGGATTACGTCCAGTTCCCAAATTCTACCTAAGACCTCGGTTAATCTCATTGCTAATACTGGACCACCATCCCTAAAAATCTCAGGAGTAAACCTGTCAGGGCCTGCTGCTCTGTTAGTAAGACAGAATAGATTAGCTAGGAAAGTTAAAATGACATTTAACGTAGCTAATCTTTTCTGGTCGATTAGTGATGCTTACTCAAACAAAAGATAAATTACTTGAGTTCGTCACTTTGGTGTTTATATACAACACAATAGGCAACTTAACCAACAAATAAGTGAACATTTCTCAGATAGGTTTGGCAAACAATACATAGCTCCATTCTTGGCACACTTAGTTGACAATGGTCATATCGTAAACAAAATAAGAAAAACATAAAAAGTCAATTCTTATTGAGAGTCCTTCTTATTTTCTCGTCACGACATAATCGGTCACTAATAAATTTGTTCATCCGTTATACCTTGATGGGTAGAAGATTTGTATTTCTGACGTTTCGTGACTCAATGTAAACCACTTCTTCAGAGTTAATAAGTAACCGAATTAAATTAAACCAAGTATAAATAGTACAAAGGAAACACTACAGAATATTTTTAGTACAATCAATATCGTAATAAGTCTAAATATGTCGATGTCAAGTTATTCTTGATCAAGGTGAATTTTTATGACCTGTCACTGAATTAATTCGTGTATCAAGGTACGACAAAAGAATTACAACGGTTATTGAAAAAGTACAAAATTAAAGTTTTCTATAAGACAACTAACACTCTAAGAAATGCTTTAGTTAGAATAAAAGCTACGACCACGTTCACTTCCACACGAAATTTTGTTTACAGATTAGGTTATGTCCATTGTGATGCCTTCAACGTTGGAGAGTCCTCCCGTGAGATTGCAACTCGTGCCAAGGAATACTCAAGTTTCACCAAAAGACTCAATAAAATTTACAGGTTAAATCAGCAATAGCAGTACATGATATTTTCAATAATTACCAAACGGATATCAAAACTATCAAAATAATTCAGAAAGGCTTTTCCAATTATAAAAAGAGGATAGAAGCCAAAGAGTTTCATATAATGATAAAGCCCTCTTCCTTCAATAGCAAACAAGGCCAGAATATTCATCCAACCTCGACTGTTTATAAAACAACCACATTTGACCTTATTTATTTTCCAACGACACACACACCCAATCTCAACCCCACTATATCAGATTACAAATGTATACATTTTTCATACCCACATTCCGACGCACAAATTAAATTTTCATCTAAGGCGGCCTGCTTGAGCGTCTGGGCTACCTGTTCCTGCCATCTAAATATTTCAACAAGTTATCTATTTTTGTTTGTTTTAATATATCATTATGTCTATTAATCGCATAACCAATTCTGCTGCGTTTCTAAAAAGTGTACAACCTTTCGTTGTGAAAGTTACAAAAAGCTCAATAAGAAAGAATGTGGTTGCTGGCAATATACAACGAAAAAAATGTACATTATTCAGATGTTCATTTACTGGACTGTTAACATCTAACTGGCAATCACTCAATATTTATCGCCAGGACCGACCAGGAACAAAGAAACGGAAACCTGTTGAAATACTTTGCGCTGAGAATTCTATATTGTACCAAAAATATAATATTGAATAAAGCTAATAATAATAATAATAACAATACAGAGACAGGTTATACAAATTCACCTTGATCAAGAATAGCCTGACATTGGCATATTCAAACTTATTATGATATTGATTGTACCAAAAACATTCTGTAGTGTTTCCTTTCTACTATTTATACTTGGTTTAATTTAATTTGGTTATTTAATAACTCTGAAGAAGTGGTTTACATTGAGTCACGAAACGTCAGAAATACAACTTTTCTGCTCATTAGGATACAACAACATATTCACTTATTATTAACTTTCTACCCAAAGCTTAATCTTTTCGAAACTAATAAGTTCAACATTCGCATTGATTATTTATTTATTTGAACACATAAATATTGGTACAAGGCGGCATCAAATATATATATGCGCATTGATACCTATGATCGGTTATGTTTTATTATTTCGACTTCATCATTCTAATCAGGTGTAAACTTTTTTACTTGTTTGGAAATGCGATGATCTTAAATTAGTAATATATTAAGTTAAGATCTAGAAATGGTCTCGTTTACAAGTCACTAATTAGTATACTACAACTGAATAAACTTTAATAAACGGAATACACCAATTAAGACATCAAATAAGAAAGATTAGTTCAGGGATGAGGCAGATGGCTGTAAAGGAAACAAGAGTATGAAAAAGAGAGAAAAATTTTAATACATTAAGACCATGGTAGAAGAAAAGGTTGTAGCAGTCTCTATTGCATATACAATCCTGGTTTTTCCAGATGTATGGCTATTGCTTCGTCAATGCAAAGAAGATACAGTCTTATTGTCTTCGGAAGACTTCTATTTACCTTGTAGATGACTTTGAACGCAGAGTCTGTCTTGATTGAGTGACCCGTGTTCACAGGGTGTTCGATTATAGAATTTCTTATTGAGCCGTTGTTCACTTTTCTCAACTCTAAACATATACCAAATGTATACAATTCCTTAGTTGTGTTGCGTTCTCTGAACTGTTTAGTAATTTAATTATGATAAATATGACACACTTTACGATCTTATCTGGTATAGTTAGCGTTATTCAGTCAGTCATAAGCAACTTAGGATCTGGCATATACGTACATCGGTTCAAGGGAAAACAATAAGTGGACGCACCTGTGCTATTGTCAACGATTCTGGGCCATCTCAAAAAATTTTAAAACAAGGAAAGTTTAATGATCGTTTGATTGAACACTTATGACTCTTTGCTGAACTAATCTTTCTTATTTAATGAATAAACTTTGTAGTTAAAATGTCAAATAATGTGTGTGTGCAAAATTCTTTCTACACAGCTAATAAGTAATTGATGAGAGGTTTCAAGATAAATCATTATTTTGCCTATTGATTAGTTGTTAATCATCGCAAATTGTAACAAAATCAATCTAAGTATCACAGCTTTGGTCAACAGATATTTTAGCCAGATACTACATTAATTGTAACAGACTTTTTCAAGTTAAAACATACATTTACTCACCTTAGCATGTTTGACTTCTAATTCAGCGAGATCAACTAAATTTTTATGGAAATATTTAATTCGACGAACTTTGAAATCTTCTAATTCTGTAAAAAATATAGATAAAATTGTACATTAAATTATCTTGAGTAGGTAGTGAATTTATTACAAGGAAATAAAATAATACAGATAGGATTACAAAAGAAATAGAGTGTTTTAAAATTAAAACGAACACGGAAGCTGTTTTCGAAGTATGAATGAAACAGTATGATCTAGGTACAAACTTAAAACAATCGTGACTGATTTTCACCCAGTTGATAGCCAATCAAAAAACACCCTTTATAAATGGATAGTCGGTGGTCCTGAGTGCTGTTAGAGGTATAAGGGCGGTTATCACATTCCGGTTGCCCACACCGTGGAAGGGTTTTCCTGGAGGGACCTGAAAAGGAAATCGATTTAGAGGTGATGTTAGTGAGCGTGAGTGCCCAAGGAATAACCGCTTGAGGTCGATCAAACATGACCGGTTTGTGAGTAGTTTTCATGTTACCTCCGTGCTTGTTGAAACCTTCCGCCGGAGACAGATATTCGTGGGATAAGGCGAGGTGTGCATTCTTAGGGTCGACCGCTTCCAACCCCGTCCCTCCTTGTGGAAAGGCAACATCGCTGCTATATTGGTTGTCTGAAGGAAACACTTTTCTGCCGTCACACCTCTGTAGTCAGCAGTACGACTTCGCCTTCGGACCTTGGGTTTGCTGCTTTTAGTCTTACCGCTCTTCAACTGACCTGTCCGGCATGGCAGGACCTTGAGGAACAATTGTTCCAGCCAGTATAATTCTATTGTTTCATCACGATAGGCAAGCCCGACCACCACATCAATATAACAACAACGGTCGGGATAGTTTTGGCAAAGAAAACAATAATATTACAAAGTGTAAACAAATTTTAAATAGTTAATGAATCTTTTAAAGTCTTCTACAGGTTACTCTGTCTGTAAATTGAAGAAAGAACAAAACATTAATATGTCCTTGTAGATATAGATTGTCCTTATCAGGATCCAAATAGGTCTTTCCGAGTTCTCACAAAGTTCTTGGTTAGAATTAGGCACTTGTGGTAGGCACTAAAGGATTAAGTGTTGGAGTCCTTATCACAGAAATACAAAAATGCACAGAGGCGTTGAGTGATTACTTCATTCACAAAATATTCAATTTCGGGTTGTGGAGATCATTGAACTTCGCTGAGATCATGAACTGATCAATGTAAGACCACCAATTAAAACCTGGAAGAACTGTACGGGCATTTCGTCCTAGTATAGGGCTCCTCGGCGGTGTGTATCTATGATCCCTCACGAGGGACTCGATGGTGGTCTAACATTGATCGGTTCATGATTTCAAATGTCATACATAAAATGTAGTGCCCCAAGATTACGATTAGTTCAAGTATTAAGCGTTTACAGTTGGGATTAGAGGATAATGTTGATTTACCAGTTATAATAAACTACAAAGAACAGAATTGAGTATTCGATACTTTTAACACTGTATGGTTGTAAGAATTAGTTATTCACAATCTCTTTTAACGTTTCGAAAAGTATTAAAATATATTTTTACTGCTCGTCATAGGTGGTATATGAATTTTGCACGAGGACCTATAAGTTGCGTTCTTGATCCTGATTGCATACAATGATTTTTACCAAAATTTGATGCATACACTTCAAATTACCACATTAATAAGGCAGACCAAAACAAAATCAGATGAGATTGATGTCGCAAAACAAACTACTCGTAAAGCGATTCAGGCAATAATCATCAAATTAAGACTTAGTACTAGGAATGTGGGCATATATCATAAGACTAACCCCATCCAGAGATATCGGGTGCCTGTGCACATATTCCATTTAAAGGTCAAACAAAAGGTTAAATCTTGTAGTCTACGTATGTTGTTGAAATGACTCATTTGAACATCTGGTCAAAATTCCCATCTACGTGTTAGACTTTAAGTGAGATGGCCCAGAATCGTTGACAATAGCACAGGTGCGTCCACTTATTGTTTTCCCTTGAACCGATGTACGTATATGCCAGATCCTAAGTTGCTTATGACTGACTGAATAACGCTAACTATACCAGATAAGATCGTAAAGTGTGTCATATTTATCATAATTAAATTACTAAACAGTTCAGAGAACGCAACACAACTAAGGAATTGTATACATTTGGTATATGTTTAGAGTTGAGAAAAGTGAACAACGGCTCAATAAGAAATTCTATAATCGAACACCCTGTGAACACGGGTCACTCAATCAAGACAGACTCTGCGTTCAAAGTCATCTACAAGGTAAATAGAAGTCTTCCGAAGACAATAAGACTGTATCTTCTTTGCATTGACGAAGCAATAGCCATACATCTGGAAAAACCAGGATTGTATATGCAATAGAGACTGCTACAACCTCTTCTTCTACCATGGTCTTAATGTATTAAAATTTTTCTCTCTTTTTCATACTCTTGTTTCCTTTACAGCCATCTGCCTCACCTTCCATCTTCCCCTTAAATGTTCTACCCCCAACTGGTTTGTTTTTATTTCCACGATCATTCCGATTACATTTCACCTCTATTTCAACATTTTATCTTATCATGCTGAGCCATCCTTTCCCAATGATAATTTCCCTATCTATCTCTTGATGAATAATTAAGCCATTAACAACCCAACGATTATTAAACTTTCCTTGTTTTAAAAATTATTTTAATACCTTTGTTTATTTAACCTTACTGTCACCATGCATAACAGATGTTTATTATCAGTATTATTATCATCCTGTGAAAATAAGTAAATGTATATTTGCGATTGTACAGCTTTGAAAATGAATTCGCCTGAATTCCCTGAACTAATCTTTCTTATTTAATGTCTTAATGGATGTATTCCGTTTACTAACAAAACTATTTTATAAAATATTATTGTAGGATAAAATTGAATAAATTATATCAACGCTTATTTAAACATCACTATTCTTACAATAATCATAACAGTTAAACTCTCAGAGGAAAAATATTTTTATTAATAAGGTCAAGTGATAACATACGCACACGTGATATTTATATCATATAACACATACCAAGTTTAGCTGATTCTGAAATAGATTTGAAACGTTCATTAGCTGCAGTTTGTGCATCTTCCGCTGTTTGAACATCTTTCATACGTGCTCGAGCTTTATCAAGATTACGATTAGCAGTTTCATAATCTGCTAATGCACGACATCGACGATAGAGTAGGTCACGTGCAGCTCCAGTATCAATTGCATAGTAACGAAATGTATCAGATAATTTTAAATCTTCATCCGAACTCAAGCGAACTAGAATTTTCTAGTAAATATAAATAAGTTTTTTTAAAAAAAGTTACATTAAATCTGAAGTTCGACTTCTGCTCAATCTATTTTGGTTTGAAAAACCAGGTAGTTTTATGAGAGTGTGGTTCATACACTTGTAAATGAGTTCATTGATTAATAAATTATTCATTTATTACAAGAAACTACTTGAAACTGATTCACAATAAATTAAAATATGCATATAAAATAGTTTTATCGATGCAGTAATTCATAGGCAAACACTAGTGATTTAACCCATAATAAGGATAAAGGAAACTAATACTCATTAACCGTTAGGTAAAAATTAACGCGAGCCTGTATAGTTTGTGGCAGTGATCGGAAGTTATTGATATATTTCGTAATCCGGTTACTAAACCAAGTGATTTATTAATGGTTAGGCATTTTGACTTCTAATGTGTCGGAGACAATTGACGATCGACCTAATGTTTCACGCTAGTTGGGATTTTTCAACAAGCTGTATCTACAATCGCCGAGGGGATTTGAATCTGTATCAATCATTAAGTGTTGCAGTCAGACGATATTATCACACTATGATCTCCAATGGCGATCTGTTTGAATATCTGGGATACTTGTCCCCCCTCCCCTCCTAGATATTTCAACAAGCTATATATTTTGATTTGTTCTAACACATTATTATATTTAATAATCGCATAACCTAGTCAGGCGCGTTTACGAAAAGTTTACGACCTTTCACTGTACAACTAACAAAAAAGTATAGAGACATCGTGGTGGCTGGCAATAACGTTATCAATAATAATAATGAACCGAGCGTTCATAGATTACGGCTAAGCATTCAACTCAATTACTGAATACAAAACAAAAATAATCTGCCAAAACCTAAATAGCAATAAAAGGCTAACATAAAATAAGATGGAACTCTATGCAAGTATTTTTGATATTTTTCTCGAAAAATATCAAGATAAAAACAAACTACACAATTTAGAATTTCCCAATCACAGTAGAAATTCCGCCTGTAGCTCTCCTAGAGTTACTGCCAGTCTCAAGTCCGGATAAAGGAGGAGGGCTGGGCAACCAGAATAAACAATTTAAACCATTTAAAATCTGCCCTGAACGTTCAAGCACAGCCAACGCAAGCCAATCAATGGCATTCAAGAGCAGAGGAGGGGAAGGGAGGGACATTTTGAGGAACTCTTGATTAAGCTAGCTCTACTAAATCCACCGGACATCGAAACGCCACATACAGACCTTCGCATAGATGTCACTCCACCAACGATCGAAAAAATCAGGTTGACCATCAGACAAATCAAGAGTGGGAAAGCAGCAGCACCTGGCAATATACCAGCTGAAGCACTGAAGTCAGACATACAAGCAACTGAAAACATGTTTCACGTCCTGTTCTGGAAGATTTGGGAGAAGCAACAAATGACGATGGACTGGACTGGAAAGAACGACACCTCATCAAAATTCCAAAGAATGGAGATCTGAGCTAGCGTGAGAACCACAGAAGCATCACGCTACTGTCAGTACCAGGATGCGTTTTCAACAGTGTTGCTGAACTGGATGAAAAACTCAGTAGACGCCCAACTTCTGGATCAACACACCGAATTCCGTAAGGACCGGTCGTCCACAGACCAAATCGCAACACTACGGATCGTCGTTGAACGATCAATTGAATGGAACTGATCACTATATATCCACTTCCTTGACTATGAGAAAGCATTTGACAGTGTAGATTGGAGAAAATTATGGAGGGACCAGATTCAGCCAAGGGAAAAGTATATCCCATAAGCAACCAGAAGCACGAATGAACAAGCACACAATTCAAGTGCATATATGCAGTATAAAAATGTCCTTAGGAAACGTCAAAACATAGCGTATTAAAAGAGGGAACGAACTAATGACATTTAAGGTCCTTTTAATCGAGAAATACAATCTGAAGGTAAAATGGTCGCTTTTGACGCGAAAATGAGAAATTCAAATTTCCAAAATAATATTACACAAATAAAACGTTTACTAAGAGATTTTTAGGGATCTAGCATCCCCAACACATGCTTCTGATCGAGAATTGACCCTAACTTAGATAACAAATGTATTTCTCATAGAACCAGTTTAGCTAAACAGAAAAATTCTAGTTAACTGCGTTTTATTGATTGCTATTATTATTATCATTGAAATATGGTTGTTGATTGAACGGATAGATTTTGAATGACTGTATTCATGTGATTTAGTCGATCCCATTTTGTGATAGTTTCGCATGATAAAGATAAAAATTGACTAGAATTCGTTGATATTATATTACATCAATCTAGCTATATTTCAAAGTGTACAGATTTAACAAAACATTCAGCTGTTATTTTTTTTAAATTTTGTCTAATGACTGACCGTTGAATATTACATGAGCTTCAGAAACAACATACAAAACTTAACTCACAAAAACAATACACTCTAAGCAGAAATTAATAAAATACATTTTGAAGACCCTCAATGAGTCATTTTAGTGAACAATTAATCATAATAACCTGACTTATTTCAACATGGCGATACAAGACTGTTACATAGGTTTCGATTGGAGAGTCTTATATTCCTGTGTGGTCACGAACGCTCATTTTGTTTGATTAGTAAAAAGATTCATGAAATCTGTAGACAGTACTATTCTTTCTCATTTGATAGACAGTGAATACTAGTTCAGAATAGAGGAGTTTCTTCCAGTTCTATACCTAGTCCTCATTAATTTACCATAAAGTCGTGAGAATAAAACAGTGCCTATAAAAAGTGGAAATTATGGAAACTAATTCGCAATAGTCTATACCAATGTGTACAAATGGGATGCATTCATCAATTTGCTTAGCCTACCCCACATAATAGCCTCCATCCTCTTATCAATCTACCTGGTTTATTCAGCATCATTTTTATATTGAAAAATAAGAACATTTTTATTTCACAAAAGCACTAGGCTATATTCTGAAGAGTAAAAAAAGAAACTCAATAAAACACTGAATTCAGTATAGTTATTTATGAAACTTATGCTAATGATTGGATTTAATTGAACAAACGTAAAGGTAATGTCGAAAATCAATAAATAATCCTTAATAATCGACATTAGTTCTTAACAAAACGCAATTCATGGAACAGTCCTTATGAACAACTGGAAAGTAAAATCATTTAAAATTGAAAGAAAAAACTAATGATAAAGATTTAGTACTTTGATTCTTTTACTAGAGAAAAATATAACTGTACAGATCCCGATTCCGGTACCTGGTTAGGATCCGTATGATTATCGTAACCGATAGTTAGAAACCTTGCATGACATGGCTCATGAACGTTCGTAGATGCATTCACTCTGTTTTCTTTTACAATGAGTAACGACACCTTTTCGCTCCATCTTTCGCTCTTTTACTGTATCTAATCTTTCTTAATAGTATTGATAACGTTACTAATTCTAATACTCAGGTGTCTTGACAACTTTATCTCGCTGTTCTAATGTGGCATGGTAACTTGGATTGTTGAACGTACGTGCCAGGCTCTATGCTGCACATGGCTGGCTAACTGGGACTGATGTGACAGATATTGTCTACATATGACGTATTGGCCGAAACTAAAAAAATAGTATTAACTTTTAACTTTTAAACATAAAAATATGAGTATTTTTTAGGACGAAATACGCATCTCTTCGCTGTTTTCTTGTGATGTTTCACGAAGAATGATGGGATGAGCCGTGTACGTAGGTGTAAACTGCTTGGTTGGGGTCAACACGATTATCATAACCAGCAGTTGAATAAATCGAATAACATAGCTCGGAATCGACTGCAATAGCAATACTGCCAATTTAAGTGGTTAGAAATATTCGGGAGGAAACCCTGAAATTAAGTTTTGCATTAATTGACACACATCAACAAGGTGTATCTATAACTTTGAGGGGACTAATGCTCTTTGTGAGACTGGAACATGAACCACCTAGCTTCATCGTTAGACATTATCAATAAATTGATTGGAAGACAACCCTGGATCTTGTTGAGGAGTGCCAACTAAAATGAAACCTAGATTCAGGGTTTCCTGTATACTACCTCCAACCACCTAACACATAATAAACGTTATGTCAAGTCACTTACACCAGTGACTGCGTTACAACTTGATCGATAGGATTAAATCAGCACAAAAGGACTAGTTAAACATAACATTGATAACTGCTGAATGATCAGTCGATTGAATATATACTTTTATATTTCACAGGAGAAAAATTCGACAAAATTTAGGACAATCTGAGAAACCATTCATTTTCATTCACAGTCTATTTGAATGTAGTCATTTATGAGCAGAAGCGCAAAATGAAAAAAGCATGTATTCCAGTCCTAAATGTAAAACAAATATAGGTAACTTTCCAATAATAACTCATTTTTATATCTATAAAAAGTATTTTGTTATTTAAAGTGACGGTACTAACATGTCCAGTCAGTCGGCAAGTTAATCAGTAAGTTATATACTAGATAGATCTGATTCATTTACTAACTACCGATTGGTGTAATAAGCTTTGAGTTACAGTTTACGTACAAGAGCTAGTGTACCACTGCAAAGGTAGGTGAAATGGAACTTGGGAATTCGTACAACCTAGTGGTTGAAATCCGAACGCCTTAACCACTATGCTACCCCCTCCAAGTAAGTGATAAACAACACACACACACACATACACTGAACCTCGTTTTAGAGACGGGAGAAAAAAGGAACATTCAGATCTCAAACTAGAAAAAAAAACTTTAAAAAGAAAACAGACAGCCTTAAATTTCATATATAATCAAAATTACGTTTTAAGTGGAATAAACATTAGTATGTGGATAAATATTAAGTAATTGCTTTTGTATATTTTACATGACATTTGTGAGGGATGCGTTGGGAATAAACGATTAAACAAATATTTGTGAGACAGTTAAAAGTTTTTATTTAAACACAAAAGTATGTACGACTGATTGACCATTGAGTGGTGACCAATGTCATGCATGTTAAGTCGCTCTCAGTGCTGATCAAATTCTACCGACAGGCAAGTTGCAATGTGGCCACTAGTCTGACAAGTGTTAAATAACACGAAACCTAGGCCCACGGCTTCCAGTTAATTATCTCCAACCATCGTCGTACATCCCACCTCAACACAATGCACGCGATGTCGAGCCACAAGGACTAATATTCACTACATTGCAACTTTATCAATAGAATTCAATTAGTACTAAAGAGAACGTGAGATGTAACATTCGTTACTATTCAGTGATCAATCAAGTATAAATACATCTCAGTTCTACGGGGTCAGTCATAGCCCGAACAGCTCAGTGGTAACGTCTCTGACTGTAAAGCTAGGTAATATGGGAACGAAAGAGCTAGGGAGCATCAGTTCTTTGTGGCCCAAAATCTGACTCCAGTTGGATCGTTTTTGATTGTTATCAAAACATATACATGTCGCCAATCCTCATATATAATCATAAACTTAACTCACATTGGTTAATAACGAAATAAAATAAGTGAAATACGAGGATGAATTTTTGAATAAGTATATTTCGTACAATCGATCGGGAAGCGAAACAAAACAAAATGACGCGTAATGAAGTAGGCGAGTGAACCAACTCGGACTACTCAATCAGTCATACGATCTAATTGACGTCAAAATGAAGGGCTCCACTAAAGTGGTGGTCCGCCGTCGGCTAACCGAACGAAGAAAACTACGGCAATCGAGAACCTTCTACACTCCACACTTTCGGCGAATAAACTGAGCTAAGCCAGGTCAATCGATAAACAATGCAGTTTTCGACCATACGATCAAACTGGAGAGATCACGGCACCACTAAAATGGTAAGCTCGATTTCGAACTAAACTCACCTCGTAAATCTACGCAAACGGTGAACATCACGAATTCTACGCGTCCGATAAACGAAATGACCGACTTAATCGATGAGCGACTCAAACTACTCAATCAATCATATGATATTACTAGAGTCAGATAGAGGGACATCAAAGTGGTGAGCCTGCCAATAGCAACCATTTGATAAAGATCATTGGTCTGATCAAACTGGAATCAGATTCTGGGTCACTAAAAGTTTCTTTAAGATAACAGGCACACTTTGCTAAAAAGCGGTGCCAAATAGCACAAAACGTAAGTGAAACAGGATTTCCTGTCGACTAACTCTACAACCACTTACCATCTTACACATTAAAATATTATATACCAAAAATAAGGAATTAACTCACTTGAAAGCTTTCAAAGAAATTGGATAACAAAGTTGTCAAACTGTTGAAGAGAAGAAAAAATTCAAACACAATTATGAGTAACGAATAAAATGTATACTAGAACTGTAACAGCAAAACTCTGAATTATCTTGAAGTATAAAAATTGTTTACATAGTTCAATTTGGAAGCTAAGTGAATAATGCGATGGGGTTTGAAGCGAATGGTAGTGGGTTCGAGTCCTAGAGAAAACATCAATTCTGGGATGCAGGTACATTCGGCTGACGAACCCCAAATAGGACGAAACGCGAGTCTTGGTTTCCACGACAAGTTACTATCCATCTCTGCTTATCAATTTGTAATAGTACTTTTTCTCTTAGGATTATCCTATTGTTGATACTTTTGTAATGGATTTTAATTAATTTTATTTGACATGTGTGTCCTGTGAGGATTGCTTCGATATAACCATGTCGGGAGTTTTTTCATGGGATAAATTAAACGTGGCCAGCAGTGAAATTTGGGAGGCGTCTTTCATCCTATTTAGGATAAATTTATTTCAATATTTATTAATAGTTATCGGAACTAAGGTTATCACGCAATCCAACGACGTTACGAAGCGACCGTTACAAAGAGTTCACATAATTTATGTTATATGTTTACTTACAAGTAGTCTAAAGTACGTAATCATTCATAATCAATGTAGTACATTATATGAATGTACATCAGTCTGAGATGCCACAACTTTTAACAGTGTAGCGAAAGGAAATTAACAGAATGAGGAATGTAGTGACAAATTACCATTGATTGGATTGGAAAGCTAAACATGATAAGTATACGTCGAAAGAGATAAGTAAAGTCGAAGAATTAAAATTATATGAAGAAAATATACTGAAGATTTAGATAGAGATGTACGGTGGATACAACTCTAGAATAGGCGGATCTATTTTATGAGCTGCGTTACGACTACAGCAAATAAATACCCAGTATGGGCTAGCTGAACACTGAGTTTACTAAGTGACAATCTATTCACTGTTAAAATGATTTTAGGCTAATTTATTATTCGGTCCGGCTGAAGAGTTGGCAAAAAGATGAAAGACCGATAAAGAAGTAAATTTTAATTTTTCCTAACCTTTCAGATCCGCTTATATGATTGAGTAGGTGCTTATTTCGAAAACCTAGACTACTATGACAGTTGAATCAAATGAGATGGCCTTCTTTCCGTTAAATGGAATTTAGAAAATATTAATAAGCTAAAAGACAACTACAATATCTAGTTAAAGTTCCACTGTAGCCTAGATTTAACATTTGTAGTGACCAATGGAGTTCAACTAGGTCGGGTGTGAAACATTTATCCAAATCAGGCAGTGAATGATAGCTGTACAATCGTGAACTGATTAGAATCAGACATGTAAACCATTTGGTACCGGCTCAACGGTCTGGAGGTTAAGCGTCCATGTGCGAGATACAAAGTCGTCAGTTCGATTCCTTCTGATGACATTGTGGATGGGCACTAGTGAGGAGTCTTATATCAAGACGAGACAGCTGTCCAGTGCTTCCGAGTTTTTGACGGTTGCTTAGTTAAGATCAATTCATGATTTAAACCGTGAAAATTGTATTGTAAATAATTGATACTTTCCTTCCTTATATTTCTTTGAAATGTGTATATATTTAGTGCATTCGTTTCAATTAAAAGTCAAACAGAACAAAAGTCGATATCACGGAGAAGTAGGAAGAGAGAGAGAAGTAGTCACAAATGAACACAATCTATTGCAACAAAAAACAAAGCAATCAAAATCTTTTTTTAAAATAACAATCCAACTAACTCGGTTTCAGAAGTGATATTGCATTCTTTTGGAATTAAATTAGATAGAGCCAATTCAATTTGTAATAAAGTATTTGCATTAGTTTTACGACATTTCGATGCTAGATCCGCTGCTACCGTTGCATCTTTTATAGCTGAATGATAAACAGCTAAGATACATTTCTCATCACGAAAGAAAACATCATTATCACGTTGATTATTTAACCATAAAGTCTCATCAGCTGATTTTGAGACAGATTTTAAAAAATCAACAGCCTAAAAAAGTCAAATACAGAAACAAAATGATTTATATAATTAAAATGAATTTTGTATTTGTAATATCTTGATAAAAATTAAAGAGGAAAAAACAAAATGGTTGGGGCAGATACTCAACCGACAGTAATAGGATAATAAAATAATAATAATAATAATAGTACTTGTCGCAAACTGGTTGGGGTTTTAAAAAGATGGAATACCACTGGAGTTTGACAATAAATAATCTTCAAGGTAATCTGAGCTCACCGGAATGAGGTAGGAAGTTTTTGTATTCTATCTGAGATGACGTTGTAAGCTCGTAGTAGTATTGTAAAGTCTCAAATATTCGATAGATAACTGAATTTGTGTACGGTCGGCAATATAATTCTATGGTCAAATCACTTATGCAATAAAAGCAATGAATTGTTTGATATGGAATCTTTTGTAGTTCACTTAAAATTTAAACACATTACAGAGTTATTACATATTTCCCCCAAATGCACTGGTACGACTGAGAGTGTGGAGAGTCCACTCTTCCTCTCGAAACGCTCTCACATGGTTACACGTATACAGTCACTGTCAGGAAAGTCCTACCCACTTCCTTCTCGTGGTGGGGGTGTTGTCTACGAAAGTGAGAGAACGAAAAGCCAACGTCCAGAGCTTAAACCGGATTGGTGGATATGGAGGATCCATCTAGAAGAGTTGGGAAACCTTGATTCCAAACCAATGGTGCATATGGGCTCCAGGGTCCTAATTTAACAAATGGAGTATGAACCTACTGTTGGTCACAGGCTACCATGAGACTGCATCTCCTAACGTTACTCCACTGTAATGTGGATTAAACCTCTAGGTCAAAGGATCGAAGTGTGGCCCCTTAAGAAAACCACCCGCTTCGATTTGGGAGTCCAGGCAGCATTCCAGACCTCACACAGATCGAATCATGAAACGTGGCACATATCTATTTGATGCCTCCTTGTATCAATGTTGATGTGTTTAAATAAATTTCTTTGTCAGAATATCTACCCTAATTATGACAGTGGGATCCATACATGAGAGATACTCAGTTAATAAATACTAAACTATAATCACTACATAAACTGTACTTAGCCTTGGAGATATACTTTTCGTGTTACTGCCAATGATACAATTCGGTTGTTTTAAACAAAGTGGAACAGGATTTGAATGTATGACCAAATTATTGAAAGTGAAGTTACTTTCAACTATTACTATTAGGCTAACATCGTTTAAAAGGATCCAAACAGCTAGACTAGAACAAACTGATTGCTCTCTTTGTCTACATCTACATGAAAACCAGTTAAATATTAAACGACACGGTATGGCCTTCCTCATATCAATCCATATGGACAAAAGTTCAGCTGTAAAGAAACACAAAAAAGAACTTAGTACTCTAATCAAGTGTCAATCAATAAACAGATCGAAATCAACCACATCTATCAGCCAATAAGCACAAGGATTAACAACTGTAAGGTCAGAGATCAAGTCAATAGAGAGAAAAAAAGCAAAAAGAAAAAACGGAAATACAAACAACGATAATACAATAATGCGCAATAACCAACCACATCCCAGGTCAACAGGACACGCTGTAAGTCGATGGCAAGGTAAAATTCTGATAGGTCGCTATTTCAGTTTGAAGTACATGCTAATGATGTTGTTCTGTAGGATAATAAAAACTTAACAATTAAACCACCTAGACTCAGAGACCTCACAATATCTCCAACATTAAACATTCTTAAATAACAAATGTATTTTAAATCCATAGTTATATGTATAATGTTGCTGAGATACGTTGTAAAAAAAGAAAATACCTTTTCTTTCCTTGTCTTATTTCGTACGTTTAATTCTTCTTCGAATTCCAGAAATACACGAAAACCATGATCATGTTTAAATGTTGGATGTGATGCTAGTCGTTGTAAAAACACTTCATGCATTGCAACTGTTTTCTTAAAAGTAGCTAAGTATTCACTGAAAACAAATAAGCAAACAAAAGAATATAAACCTAAGGGACACTTTTTACTAAAATTAAATGAATTATGAACTGACGATCAAAACATTAGCAGTAAATGTCAATATACGCTATGTCGATATTATAACAGGGCGAGGTATTGAGGACATTGGGACTCTTGGGACTGTTTTACTAATTATTATAATCATCGAATTCAACAATCTCTGTAACGCCCTATAAAAAGAATAATAAAATATAGCTAAGAGGAGATGAACTGAATTGAGAAGTGACGAGTATCAAAGACTACGTATGCTAAACACTTTTAATAAGTGTGAGTGAGAATTTATGATTAATGTAATTGTTTTTGAGTTACACTGATATTACACAATTGCCTAAAACGAAGTAGACACAACGGAGTTCAAACATACAGCTTAATGGCTGAAGATTGAAAGTCTTAACCATTGAGTCACCTAATAAGCTATCGATCACATATTATTACCGCTCACAAGCATCATTAGCACTTATGAGGTTAACTTGTCCACCAGTGTGAACAATGTTATGATTAATTGATCAAAATAATTCCTCTTCTATATCACAATCATAGCAATATCATACATTTTGGGATGTAATAACATGCGACTCAAGTAATAGGAAATAACCAATCATTTATGCTAAATATGACTAGTGTTAACTCAGTTATTCAATTTAATTCAAAAAGTACTGAACAGTTGAAGTGTATATCATACCGGAGGTACCTTATATACAGAAAACAAGCAACAATCTATGAATGATAATCGACATTTTATTTTCAGTAGTATATATTGAGATTCGCTTCATCCAAAAACAAGAAACAGGCAAAAATAATTGATATGGATTGGAAGGCTGATATATAGTTAAATTGAACCAAAACAATAAAACATAAACATACACTCTAACGATTTCACCTAATAACCCTAACTAAAGATCACAGTTAATCTAGAACGAACGGTGTCATGGCAAGCATGCATGTCAGAATAAATTAACTACATATAATATAATCTACCTATAAGACCTTTACCGTTGATTAATACTTCAATCCCGATTTCATGAAAAATTCAACATACACTTTGTGCTTGCAATTAATTGAATAACTACACATTTTCTTTGATATCTAGTTTTCACTATTACTATCACTGAAACTCATACCGACAAACTCAACTAATTCAAGATAGCTTCCAGTAACCACTTCCAAACCATACAAGATCGACTAAAAGAAGGAACTACTATGGAACACAACTGGAAAGGGATCAATGAAGCACTAACTTCAACGTGCCAGGAGGTTCTGCACCCCAAAAAGCATCATCATGAGGAATGGATCTACATCTAAACCCTACACAAGATTCAAGAAACGAACAACAAGAAGACAGCAATTAACAACAGTCCAACAAGAACAAAGAAAGTCAAAGCACAAGCTGAAAACACAGAAGCAAACAAGCAAGTAAAGCAGAACATTAGAGCTGACAGACTGAAATACGTCGAAGACCTAGCAACAACAGCGGGGAAAGCTGCAAGAAAAGGAAATATGAAACCACTATATGACACAACGAAGAATCTAGCAGGGAAATATGGTAAACCAGAGAGACCGATAACGACAAAGAAGGCAAGCCAATCATTGGCATTCAAGAGCAGAGGAGGGGAAGGGAGGGACATTTTGAGGAACTCTTGAATAGGCTAGCTCTACTAAATCCACCAGACACCGAAACGCCACATACAGACCTTCGCATAGATGTCACTCCACCAACGATCGAAAAAATCAGGTTGACCATCAGACAAATCAAGAGTGGGAAAGCAGCAGCACCTGGCAATATACCAGCTGAAGCACTGAAGTCAGACATACAAGCAACTGAAAACATGTTTCACGTCCTGTTCTGGAAGATTTGGGAGAAGCAACAAATGACGATGGACTGGACTGGAAAGAACGACACCTCATCAAAATTCCAAAGAATGGAGATCTGAGCTAGCGTGAGAACCACAGAGGCATCACGCTACTGTCAGTACCAGGATGCGTTTTCAACAGTGTTGCTGAACTGGATGAAAAACTCAGTAGACGCCCAACTTCTGGATCAACACACCGAATTCCGTAAGGATCGATCGTCCACATACAAAATCGCAACACTGCGGATCATCGTTGAACAACCAATTGAATGGAACTGATCACTATATATCCACTCTCTTGACTATGAGAAAGCATTTGACGGTGTGAATAGGAGGACTTTATGGAACCTTTTGCGACACTATGATGTGAGTAGCTGGGAAAATCGTCAACATCATCCGGAATTCATACGACCAACTACATTGCAAAGTCGTACAATGAGGTCAGCTGACAGACGCATTTCAAGTGATGAGCGAAGTCAGACAAGGCTGCTTACTCTCACCTTTTCTCTTTCTGGATTATAAAGACCTTCACATCTGAGGAGAAGCACGGAATACAATCGACAACTTGGATGCAACTGGACAATTTCGACTTCCCATATGAATTGACCTTTCTATTCCATACGCACGAACAAATGCAGGTCAAGACAACCAATGTAGCAGAAGCCTCTGCATCAGTAGGTCTCAACATAAACAAAGGAAAAAGCACGATCCTCAAATACAATACAGAGAACACCAGCCCGACCACCCTTGATGGAAGAATTCCAGGAAAGGTGGAAACTTTCACATATCTGGACAGCATCGTCGATAAACAAAGAAGATCCGATGCGGATGTGAAGGCACGTATTGACGAAGTAGGAGCAGCATTCCTACAACTGAAGAACATGTGGAACTCTGAACAACTGTCGGCCAATATCAAATTCGGAATTTTCAGTACAAACGTCAAGACAGCTCTATTGTACGAAGCTGAAACTTGGAGAACTACTACTGCCATCATCAAAAAGGTAGAAGTATTTATCAGTGATTGTCTACGCAAGACACTCAGTGTCCGTCGATCGGATACCATCAGCAACAGCATACAGTGGGAGTGGAAAACCAGTTTTTCAGATGAACAGGTAACTAGAAAAAGACGATAGAAGTGGATAGGACATATATTTCGGAAATCATCAAACTGCATCACGAAGCAAGCCCTAATCGTGAAGGGAAACGGAAAAGAAGAAGACCAAAGGACACATTGAGTCAAGAATTCGAAGCAGACTTGAAAAGGATGAATAGCGAATGGAAATAAGTGGAAAGGGTTGTCCAGGACAGTTCAATGGAGAATGCTAGTGGGTGACATATGCTCCTCCACTAAGGGTGACAGACGTACGATAGTATCACTACTGCCAGCTACTGGTTTATAATGGAATACGCAGCATACTACCAAAACAGATGTAATCATTTAAAAGATGGTAATCACAACTGTCATAACTAGCTGTGAGTAAACATATTGATATGTGCTAGTGAAAGTAAAATATGTTTGGTCACTGAGCGTGGACAAGCAGGTACTTGGCCTACTGACTTGAACATGTAATTTCCTTTCCTCTGATTTTGATTTGTATTTCGAACTCACTGAATGCGACTGCTTGTAACTGTGTTGAATAAAATAGCATCAGGTGTTAATCCATGTCTCTATTCTGAGTCGAGAATTCTGGATCTGATAATAACGTGACTAGTCTCATTATTGTATTAAGGCATTAGTAAAGTATACCTGAGAGAGAAATATATTTTGAACCATCCGTTATATCATATAAGTACATATGTGCTTACATAACCGGTTAATATACAATAGGTTGATAAAAGTTAGATAACAGAAAATTTTTAGTTAGATTACATACAAAACAAAGTAGGCGAGCACATGAATATATACAACTATTATTATTACTTAAAATTTAAGCATAACGTGAAATGTTTATCACAGACACAAAACGATAACAATAATTACTATTATTATGATAACTAACGATATGTAAATTAGAATATTTCTCAAGATTTAGTATAGAGATTGTAGAATTGATGGAGAGAAGTTATATCAAATCATGTTGGTATAGAACAAGAAAAAACAACTGAATACATGAATTGTAATACATTTTGTGTCGAATTTAGAAGTACCAATGGATCCAAATAACAAAGACTATCGGGTATGTAGTTTATCTAATGAATACGAGGAGTGGAAGAACGAAAACCTTATTTTCCAAACCATAAAGTGTCAAATATGATTTTTCGCAATAAGGGTGTGTTAACTAGCGAGTGGGAAAAAGCGCACCTTATGAATGTGATGTCAGTATGCACACTTCTTTAATCAATAGCTCATGAGGAAAATGAAATCTTAATTTATTAATAGCGAATTCATGTATGCTGGTCCGTCTATTGACTGACTACATATAATGGATTAATTGCCCCCAAATGCCCTGGTACGACTGAGAGTGTGGAGAGTCCACTCTTCCTCTCGAAACGCTCTCACATGGTTACACGTATACAGTCACTGTCAGGAAAGTCCTACCCACTTCCTTCTCGTGGTGGGGGTGTTGTCTACGAAAGTGAGAGAACGAAAAGCCAACGTCCAGAGCTTAAACCGGATTGGTGGATATGGAGGATCCATCTAGAAGAGTTGGGAAACCTTGATTCCAAACCAATGGTGCATATGGGCTCCAGGGTCCTAATTTAACAAATGGAGTATGAACCTACTGTTGGTCACAGGCTACCATGAGACTGCATCTCCTAACGTTACTCCACTGTAATGTGGATTAAACCTCTAGGTCAAAGGATCGAAGTGTGGCCCCTTAAGAAAACCACCCGCTTCGATTTGGGAGTCCAGGCAGCATTCCAGACCTCACACAGATCGAATCATGAAACGTGGCACATATCTATTTGATGCCTCCTTGTATCAATGTTGATGTGCTTAAATAAATAAATAAATAAATAAATAAATAAATAAATAAATAATGGACCGAGTATGGAAGACATTGGAACTTTTGTAAGTGTTTTACTGACTGTTATTATTTTATGTTTTGATTGTACAATTCTTGGATGGGTGAATGGGTTAAATGATGAAGAGAGCAGTATATATGATTGCACTACAACAGTAATTAACATTTATTTATGAAAATTAAAAACAGTTTAGTTAGCTATTAGTTACTTGCCGCCCGAATAGCTCGGCGGTAATATCTCTGACTGCGAGGCTGAGTGAGACGGGATTATATTAGCCAGGAAGTATCAGTTTCCTCAAGATAACAGGTAGACCTTGCTGGCAATTAGTGACAAATAGTACAAAACGTAGTTTGAGCAGGGTGCCCTGTCGACTAACTTCAACCACCATCTTAAATTTCAATCATGATGCTAGCGATATTGATTCACTTAAAGATCAGTGGCCACACCGCAACTCGATCGATCAAAATTCAGACAGTATTAGAACGGACCTTGTCAATGATCAGTTGTAAACTACAAATTCCATTTCTTTTTATTTTATAAAAGGAAAATAGTACGGATATTAATGACACTTCTTACGCTTCTAATTCAGCTTTCATTTTCCGCAGATCGTCTACGGGTAGATTGCCTTCATTTTCACCCAGTCGTTGTAGTTTAGCACGAGATGCATCGAAATCTGGTTTGGGTGGTACTGGTGGGACCTTAAGTTGAAAACAGAGAGAAACCAAAAAGAAAAATTGTTGTTCATTTAATAATAAATCATTATTATTATTGTGGTGTGTGCTACTTATATTGACAAGTAGTATAGGATGTTAGTCGTGAACAAAAGGTCTGGAAGCAGAGAGACAAAAGGATCGAACAGTAAAGAATCGAAACAGAATGAAACTTATGTGAAAATGAAAGAACAATGAAGTCTGAGTCATTTTGAGACAACTGATGGACATTTTGCAAATTAAGCAATCACTTTATGACTGTTAGATTTTATGAAGAAGTCCTGTAATTTTATATTAAGTACATTCGATTTTCCCCACCAGTGTTCTGTTCACTACATTATTAACTACTAGCTAATCAGAGTAAGGATTCATATACCGAAACTTGAGCCATACTCCAAATGTGAGTGAGGAATAGCGATACTACCCGGTTGACCAAATCGAAGCAGTTGGGGATGGGGGCAGAGTTCAAACCTGGAAATTGTGAACGTCTTAATCTTTTTTTTAATAAACGGAATACACCCATTATGACATTAAATAAGAAAGAAAGATTAGTTCAGCGAAGAGTTCTCTTTTAGGCGAATTCATTTTCAAAGCTGTATAATCGCAAATATATATACTTATTTTTACAGGGTGATAATAATACTGATAATAAACTTCTGTTATACATGGTGACAGTGAGATTAATACCTTTGTTTATTTAACCTCACTGTCACCATGTATAACAGAAGTTTATTACCAGTATTATTATCACCCTGTAAAAATAAGTATATATATTTGCGATTATACAGCTTTGAAAATGAATTCGCCTAAAAGAGAACTCTTCGCTGAACTAATCTTTCTTTCTTATTTAACGTCTTAATCATTGAGCCACAAGCTCTATTAACAAATCAGGCCAGTGAACTGATATATATATATATATATATATATATATATATATATATATATATATATATATATATATATATATATATGACCTACAAAACCCGTATCCTTAAGTCGCTTATGTTTATTTTTCTGTCTCATATTTTGTATGCAAGTTTATGGTAATTGACTAGATAGAAAATCTATGCTGTTGATCAGTTGTGTTGTTGTTTAATATCAGTTAATTTGAAAGACTTGGATCGATAATTCGGTCTCGAGAGCACATAATATTGGTCGACTATATACCAGGATTGCTTATCACTATCTACCGATCAACACACTACAGATCAATTTAAAAATCAAAACCTGTTCATAAAAACAAGCCTTGAAATGTCGCGTATAACGAAATATCACTATATCATAGTAAGTTTTGTGAGACACAATCAAATAAAATTCAGATCAGATACCAGTGGAGACAGTATTGTAGATCTCTTGTTTTTTAAATACTTGAGCACTGCTTCAGGGAGATCAAAGCTAAGAATACTGTTTGGAATATAACTGTTACGACGTTCACTAAACTACAATTTCTTAATTGATAGCCCGGGAAACAAACGTACCAAACAAACTCCTGATTTTTGTTCTCGAGCACAAGTATGTCAATCCGTTTATCGAATAATTACTTCACTTGATCAATGGAACACCTAGCCTAACACTAACGCTGAGAGCTGATGAGATAATCGTGACCTTGATCGGTTCACCGATATGCAAACCTTCTTCTGTCCCCAAATCTTGAGTTCGATAATAGAACACAGTAATCATGTTTCTACTGTTCTACTTTTACACATCCGGTATATTTATATATCTCAAACACTCACTAATACATGTACAAGAATTGTCAGACCACTAATTCTTTATATACAATCACGCCATGAGTGATAGAACAATAATTAAGGGACAATAAGTTGATACAACTAACAAGTTTATAATAAGGGGTTTATACAAAAATAAAAGCCCTTTTATTTAATAATATGACAAAATATGGACAGAAATAATCTTTAAGATAATCCTAACAGCATCAATGTCCTCAATATTTGCCCCTTTATAATAGTATCTAGTATAACTGCAATTGTCTATCAAATTATTTCCATTTGTTGCATGCTTCTTGGTTTTATTATTTTTATAATGTTGTTATACAATTTTGTATGATACAATCTTGCTGTTGTCCATGGTGTATCAGTTTCAAATATCAAACTACATAAATAACAGTATTCTGGAATATTTAAGTAAAATTAAATCTATTTATTTCAATCATAGGACGGAAATTTCCACTACTCATTCATAAGAACACAGTTCTTTAAGAAATGCCCACAAATGCCCTGGTACGGCCGAGAGTGAGGAGAGTCCGCTTTCCCTCTCCAAATGCTCTCACATGGCCAAGCGTATATAGCCTCTGCCAGGGAAGTCATACTCACTGCCTTCTCGTGACGGGGGTGTTACTTACGAAATTGAGAGGACGAAAAGCGAATGTCCGGCGCTTTAACCGGATTCCAAAACAATGGTGCACATGGGCTCCAGTATCCTGAGGGAACAAATGGCGTATGAACCAATTGTTCGTCACCGGCTTCTATGGGAATGAATGTCCTTACGATGCTCCACTGCCTTGTGGATCAGACCTTCAGGTCGAAGGCTCGGGGTGTGGCCCCCTAAGAAAACCATCTGCTTCGGTTTGGGCACCCAGGCAGTATCACAGCCCTCACATATCGAATGAGATTTGTGTGGCGCAAATGTATTTGGTGCCTCCTTGTACCAATATCTATGTGTTAAAATAAATAATAATAAATAAATCTTTAAGAAGTCTAATTCATAACTAAAGGCAGATTAACATAGATGGGAAGTCTTGACAACGCTTTAGCATGGTTTCTCTTAAAAACTCACTTCAGCTTACAGTAAAGGATTACATAATATTTAGAGGACATTATCATAAGTTAGTAACAGATTGTGGGGCAAAACCGATTTTATTTGGTGAATTTGCCAAAAAAATATTCAAAGGATTGATATAAAAGCACAGATATATATTACCATAGAGCCAAACAGGAAATAAACTACGTCTGTAGCTCTTCTAGGCTTACTACCGGCACCAAGCCCAGGTAAAGGAGGAGGGTTGGGTAGGAGGTCAGTAACCCCATCCCGTGAAAAACAACCTTGCTAAAGAAAACACTAACCAAAATAAGTAATAAGGACAGCAGTTGGTTGATAATCACTGAGTGTTTCATTGACAACTTCCCTAAAATAATAGCAAGCCTAAACACTGACATATGTTAACAATAATAGAAATTCAGCATGAAAACCACCATCAGAAGGGTTGGAAAATCAGTTACTTCCAATATGTTTGTTTAAAATATATGCTCCTATGGAGATATACATAAAAAAGATAACATAATCTGTCTGATAACAGCCATAAACAAGATGGTTTGGGTAATTTAATTGAAAATTGTCAGATAGGTTCTATTGCAAGGCCTATAAGTTTGGGAATTCAAAATGCATTATTAACGTAGATAACAAAGGTAGCTTAGATTAAAGTATAGCTACTAAGCTACTTGGTTGATGAGAAGGTTGATATCAGAGTCCTTCAGGTACCTTCTAGATTAGGTATTTATTAAAGCATCTAATCAAAAGCCTATTTTTTGCTTTAGTATCGAACTATGATTCACAACCTTATATTAACTAATTTCCCCAGGAATTTATGCTGATAACACAGTTAATAGTACAAACTTTAAATACTTGTTATTAATTCTTAATCACTACTAATTTCACCAAAGTGGGAGAATTCCCACATATTATTACTAATAATATTTTAACTAGAAAGTGTAGCCATACAAAAAGGGGTCAAATTAATGTAGCTGTTACTTATTAGATGATCGTGTTACATATTGTTTTTTTCTTTCCATTTTTTTTAATCAATACCAGAATCTGACAGTAATGTCCACTGAGGTGCTAGAATATCAAAAGTTACAAGTACCTAAGAGACAAAGGTTCGATTTGCGATGCGACGAACAGAGAAGCCCACAAAATGCATCAGCACTGCTTACGCTAAATTTACTGTAAATCTCAATGAGACGAAGATAGGTCAGTAGGATATTAAAGATTTTAAAAGCATCACAGCTGTAATCCTTTAAAATCAAATAAATTACATGACAATATCGTAGGTGGTTTGGAGTAGAAAGTGCTGCTCTTTTTATGGTGGTACAGTTGGACTTAAATCAGCTCCAGTACTACTTGGACATACAACTGTTTAAATTTTTATTGACCACAAAAAATAAACCAGTGTATATTTCCTCCATTCACTTAAAATATTTGAAAAATCCTAATGGGAGAAGCCTGGCTAATGCAAAAATTAACTTACAATTAAACCTGCATATGTATCATTTTCAACTAAACGATCATGAAGCCAGACGAATTCTTCATGCATTCGTTGTACATCACATTCATTTTGTTTAAAATCAGGCAATGTAGTCTAGAATTTAAAAATAAAGCAGAAGTCAGTAAAATTGTTAGTCGACTAAGAATAAGTCTTTCAATACTTTTCTTTCCGTTCTTAAAAATTTAAACTGAAATAGAACTTTGATACACTATAAAAACATTAGTGATCATTCCAAAGCACAACTCGCTAGTTCGATTATATATGGGCTTATAGACATCAGATTACTTATAACGTCCGACGTCCAAATAGCAAGTCCCAAGTTCGAACGCAGCCCGACCTACTACGGTTTGAGCAACCGGTTAGTACCACCAGCCCCCGCATTTTGAGTGTGATCCATACACAAGTACCTGGTGAATAAACCATCACCAAAAATATTGACTGTAACAAGAATGTTGTCCAATGAGACCTAGTTACAGTTAACATTACAAATACAGGATGATTTTATTTGCATATAAAATAAACAGATGTCAATCTACTGTGAAATGAGTAGAAAATGATAAAATCTTAGTTATGTAGATTGCATTATGCAACGGTATAAGATATACTGCTATAAATAAATTCATGCAAATCCTGACAGTACAACTGATATATATTCAATAAATACGTTATTTATAAAAATATAATCACCTTTGTATGAATCTTGAATAAAACACGGTCTTTATCACTCATTGCTCCAGAAATTTCAACGGCTAGTGACTCGGAATTTGGATCGGTCGCATCTGACCATCCCCGTGTTTGGGAAGGGAACTGCGGAAATGATGAACCACCACCGATAGAGACAGTATCATGATAAATGCTAGTTGAATGCTCACCAATATGTTCCTGAAAGTCCGGGGAATTATATTTGTGGATAATAAAGTACTTTGAGAGAATGATTTATGGAATGAAATAGCTCAATAACTGCAGCTAATAAATAGACAAATTGACAATTAGGGCATCAAGGGGAAAGAAACAACACAAGACCAAACATAAACATGTACCGACTAAAGCTCCAACGCCTCACACTATTACAGTGAAGATAAATTAGCACAGAGGCCAAATATCTATTTCGCTCTACCAGGCTGCTTTAAATGCCCAGTTCAAGTTGATTTATTTCTGGTGATTGATTCAACGTATAAACAGGAATGATTAACGACTAATGCCATAAAAATCGAAATACGTTAGCTTAAGTCCTTTTAAAATCGATAATAGCTGGAACTTTAATGTGCATGACTTCTTAAGACTGTTGGAAGAAATCCACGAAAGTGCAGCTATATAACTCAGTAACAGCAATGGTTTAGTGGTCAAAGTTAAGCCGAACATCACTCCATACATGTTTAAGCAACTGGGCAGTATCAACAAGCTTAAGTTATAGCTCAAACTACATAACAAGAGCATGTATATCCTTACAATTTGTTTTATTTCTACATGGATTTGGTTTATTACTAATGGATAGTTTCAATGTTTGTTTTTTCGGAACCTTTACATTTCTTCATCATTTTGCTTGAAATTGAATTCAGATGAAACTATACGATCTACTTTAACCTATACCTGGATCATGAGATATTGTGATCTTGTAAAGGGATATATGACTAATAATCAAGACTTGATAGAGATGTTTATCAGACTTCCTTAGTAGGATCTAGAATATTATTTTAATCACAAGTGCATTGAGTATTACTCACAGCAACAAAGCGCGATTACAATAAATGAAAGTGCTTTTACATAACCTGTTTTTTCGTAACATTGTTGATTTCTGATAACTTTACATTACCCACTGGTTATGTCAAACTTACGGTAGAAAAAACCAAAACAAACAACAGAACATATCAAGAAAACCCACGTCAACCATACGCAATGTAAACCTCGCCAACAAGCGAATAGTTAAGTTAGAATTTCATAAACACGTAAGTGCTTCTGGATCATAGTGATGATCTTTAAAGCCTTAAAACACAGTGGTGATAAATATTACTGGATCAGCTGTAGCTACCCTGTGGTAGTATGATTATCCAGTTTACAACGTTACAGAAATATATTATGGGAACAAGTTTAAGATTATTACTCCACGTAATGCACAAGTCACCATAGTTATTGATACATTTTACAAACTTATTGACTTAGAAGACAATATATTGTTTACTACTATAAATAGTCGTAGAGATAATGAAGTGTTGGGATAGTCTTAGCGATTAATGAGGACGAGAAGCAATGAGAATATTAGGAAGTCAGATAGTCGAATAGCGAATGACAAGATGGCCAATATGAGAAACTATACGGAAACTAACAAGAGAACAACTGATATTCTGAAGTCACTAGTAAGTGAACACATGACATTTATGAAACATCACCTGACGATACAAATGCGAAATTCCAATGAATTTAGCTTTTTGTTGTGAGCCTGGTATCTTTGAAAATGATGAACGAAACACATGAAACTATCCCAAAAAACCGCCAAGTAGTTAATTTATACAGAAAAAGGCCTGCTTTGCAAAAAATAGTGGAGAACTACAGACGAATTTTTGGATCTTATTGTTTAATAACGGAATTATATTCCTGCACAACATGGAAAGGTTTGAAAGTAAACCAAATTAACATGCTTCTTAGGCTAATTTGACGATGAATTGATACCAGTAATAAAAATTCTTGAGTCGAAAATATTTTTGGTACATATTGCTGGATCTACTAAATCTGTGAAACAGAATAAGGGAATAATGCGGACGTATCGAATCTATTAGTACAGAAACCAACCATAGTAACGCAAAATTCAAAAGTAGGTAAGTCTACAAATATCCAATATCTCAGTCAGGAGCTTCTACAAGTCGATTGATTTCTTTGCACTCGCTTCTGTTTGCTTCAGTATGGTTTCAAGTATTTAGTTATATCTGAGGAGTGGTAGCCTACTCACTCGACTGCACAACTTCTAGTCAGTTTGGCCGTTATTTGTGAACTTGTACCAGTTTCAGTTTCAGTTTGAGAAGGACAGGAGGCCTGGTAGCCTGTGTTAGTCCTGGCGATGGTGGTCTCTCAGTTGATCCAACTTTCTTTTGAAAGAATCGACGGATGGAGCCTCAGCCACGTGCTGAGGTAATGAGTTCCACTCGTTGATGATTCGATGGGAAAGTCGATAGTCAGCTGACAAGTAATTTGTTCTTGGCTTGTGAACTTTTTTGGAGTGTCCTCGTGAATTCTCCGTTTTGGAAGACAAGAAAAATGAGGGCATATCAGGTGCGTAGTTGGCACCAAGCAATTTGTAGACTGTAATCAAGTCGCCTCTTGTTCTGCGATATGACAACGGAAAAAGGTTCAGCTTGGCCAGTCGAGCTTCATACGGAAGCTTCGCTATTCCGGAAATCAGCTTAGTTGCCGTTCTCTGAACCTTTTCCAGAAGCTCACTGTCTTTTTTTAAGCAGAGGCTGGCCGCTTGTATGCAGTACTCAAGTTTAGGACGTACGAATACTGTATACAAAGTCAAAAACGTATTAGCGTCGACATGACTAAAAGCTCTACGTATTGACCATAACGTTCTAAAACCTTTGGCGGCTATTGCACGGCAGTGTGCAGTAGTCTTTAAGTCTTGACTAACGATAACTCCTAAGTCACTATATGTCTGGACGACAGGTAGCTCAGTGTTATCGTGTATGTATCTGTACCTTGATGACCGATATGCATCACAACACACTTGGAAGTATGTATCAGCAACTGCCAAGTTTGAGACCATTCAGATAATTTCTTCAGGTCAGTTTGGAGTTCTTAGTTATCACCCTCACATCGCATCGTTCTCCATATCTTGACATCGTCAGCATATTGCAAGACCGATGATGATAGGAGACGAGGAAGCTCATTTACATACAAGAGGAATAGCACTGGCCCGGTCTGTAACATTCTGGGTCTTTACAATCCTCTCTTCTAAAGTACCTGCTTCCATTCTCTTGAAAGTTGAATATTGTAGCATCCTGGTGATTACCCTGAGTGCAATCATTTTGGAGAACTAAAATATAGGAATTATTGAATAGCTTCCAGACACCCAACTGGTACTATAGTTGGGAGGTGTTCTGTGCTTGCAAGTCCCAGGTTTAAGTGATCTATGAGGTTGGCAAAATAGATTTCTAGTATCACCGATTTATTAAGATCTCCACCAACTGGCCCTTCGAAAGCACAGAACCTCATGGCACGTAGGCTTCTTTTAGCTATGAATCTGTAGGGATATTTGTGGTTAGCTTGGATTTCGTTGATGCTTGTTGTTACAGCTGAGAAGAAACTGGTAATGCGTAGTGGGACTATACTACCTGATTTGTGGATCCCATCATATTAAAAAGTAAGACCTTGTTAACTCACTTCTTCATCCGTGATGTTGCGAGATAGCCATGATTCAGTCAAAACTATGATCTTTTAACCCAAATGAAATAATGTGTCTCTGTTTTTCTTAGTTAACCCCTAAGTTCTCTAACATTATTATAGAGCCACCGATGAATAATTTCATCATCTAGCTTCCCCGTATAGCAGAATCCGTCTTCCGGCTTTTAAACTGCTTTCCGCCTAAAGCGGATTGGCCAGTTTAGCTGAAGTGGTGCTCTTGTTCAGCATAATTCAGTATTTGTTCCATTGTTCCTTATCAAAGGCTGACCTACTTTCTAATAAGCTACTCTCCAACATTAGAACACCAAACAAAATCAGGAAGGTTTGACTAACGTCTTTGTCACCAATTTTTAGAGTTTTGAGAGCCATCTCTTAGCTATTCCCCTTGGCCACTGTTGCGTGAGCTTGGATAGTGGCTCTCATAGTCAAGTCACGTGTTTATTGAACCTGTGATTTTCGATTTAGATATACTGATGGGGAGTGTCAAATCCGATCCCCACAAGGATTTAGGATTCTTTATGTTAGTTAGGTGGGTGCTTTTTCTACATTTGGCGCAAATGTACAAAAGATGCTAAAAGTATTTGAAGTGTGAAAACTCTTTACCTATGAACACCCATTATCAATCGTACCCACCAAGTGAAAACAAAAGACAGAAGCGATGAGGTTCGAAGATATATTTGATAGGCTATCAATATATCGAGGATCGATTGATCTAATCTGACTAGTGATTGTAGGGGATGTCGAGCACGGCGTTTCCATTCGTGATGTGGTGCGGATGCATGGCCGAGCGCCTTCAGCTAGGTGAGTTCATGAAAACTAATATGGTCAGCATAAAATGTCGAAGACTTACAGAGCTATTGATTTTGGGGATTTATTGACCGCTAGAATACGAAAACCGCAGACTTGGACTGCTCAACATGAACTTGTACTATTGCTGAGGTATTACAATATCACAGCAACAGTTAGCTTAGTCATTGCAAAAATTACATATAAATGTGAGCCCCTGGTTTTAACGAGCGACGAGCAAGTGATACATCGTCTTTGTGTTGTTTCTCCTCAGTAGGCTGCACTCCGAGCAGTTTGTGACGCCATTTTATCCAACTTCTGTTTTGCCTCTTGATTTTCCTGAGAGTAGGAAGCTATTTAGTAGTTTGATCATTATTACTTAGTTGAAGAACCTGTTTCGGTGTTTAGGTCGAGTAGTCCATGTTGTACAAATTACTCGGAGGCTCTTCATACGGTGTGCCTTTGGGCCTTCTTATAATCTTGCTGCTAAAAGTGAAGATTTTCGGCTACTTACTAACCACTGAAATAAGAGTTCAACCTCTGCTAGCTGTTCTTGTAGTTGTGATGTAGTTATTGGTGGTAACGTTATTACTTTACATGCTACTCAACATGCTCAAAGTAAAATGTGGTATAATTCGAGGAGAAAGTCCTCGGAATGGAAGCTTTGAAGGAGAAAAATAGTATAAGTAAGTGAATCCATGTTACACAAGAATAGAACCCGAAAGAAACCTGAAATTGAAACGTTTTCTCCTACCTTTCTAACCAATAACTTAACATGGATCGAATAACTTTTGCACATATCCTGTATCTACAATTAAACGGATGTGTGCTTGTTGCAGTTGAAGGAACTATGGATCAAAAAGTTGGTCGAGACAGGTAGACCTGTAGAATTATGGTCTGCTTCGGTTTTAATACTACTATAATAATAGACCTAATCCCAAAACTACAGATTTTTCATAATGTGAAAACCTAATCTAAAAGATCTTACGTAGAAGTCACACCATTCTCTATTGTGACTCGTCCTGTCATAAGAGCCTTCAATATAATGTATATCGCCTCTTAAGAACACATTCAAAATGAATAAAAGATGTATGTTACACAGAAGTGACCACGCCTTTAGGGCAGAGTCGCGCTATCTGATTGAATGAACGTTCCTGCGTTCACCATTTTGGCCTTCTCCCAATGCTAAATGTTGCAATTATATTTTCCTAGTTATCTAATGTTCACCTTTGAGTAATGTGTGGTTAGGACAAATACTACTGCAGATCTATCGTTATGTATGATTATGGTTGTCTTATTTGTTGTTATGGTTCGCATTATTGAAAGTGTTTATATATCTCAATCTAGCAGTGAAATTTTGATATTTCCAGTTATTGGTAAGCGATCAACGAGATCACATCAGACTCAAAGAGCGCGCGTTCTTTTCCACTGATGAGTGATTAGGTTTGGCTTGATCCCAATCACAAAAATTGTGAGTATGACTCATACAGAATGATCGAAACGAACAATCCGGCTTGGTCATACAGCCTCTAGAAACGTTTTACGAGGTTGTTAGTCAATAAATTATATCCTAATTGGATAAATTGACGGACGATACACATTATTTACCGATCAAGGGAAAAAGACCTAGTTTAATCAAAGGGAGACAACTCCATTTTTTATGGATAATACAAAAGATCAGTTTAATGAAGAAAGTCAGGATTACAGGTCACGTAAAATAGCACTGGTAATCTAAAACCGAATAAATTGGCCAAAAAATGAGACAACAGCTCCAGTTTAAACAACTAAGAACAGTTCTATCTATAACCAAAGGCGCTGGAATATGCAGTTAGAATGTCAAAATAAAGAAGTTTTCATTTAAGAGTAACAGCAACTGATTAGTGCTATAAAAAATGTGTTGAGAGTGGATTTGCACAAACGAAGACATATACATGTAATCCCGTAGATAAAAAGAATCCAAAACACGTGTTATTGTAATACGATGGACTGAATGTAATAGAGATTTGAGTCGCTAGTAAACGTTGACACGTTTCTCTGGAGTAAAATTGAGATTAATTCAAGTTCATACTTCACATTTATTGATAGAATCTGGCGATTGAAAAGGAATCCGTCAATGGGTCAAACTAGACTTTTCATTGCCAGTATCAGGTCAGTTGATAGGCACTTGTTGTTTTCGACGTCATTTTCCATAGTTAGTCCGCTTAACCTCCTTTTTCTAGCTTGGCCTTGTCACCCAGCCTAACACCAGTTGGTTACATAAATTAGTTCGCTTGAATTCAAGATAATGAACCCGCTACCTTCCTTCATGAAATTAGTTTTCGCTGTGAATTCGGGTGTGTTCAGTGTTATCAGGAGAGTGTTGTCGCTTTTAAAACTGTAATTACTAATTCGGATAGGAAATTTAAAACTGTCATCGTTATTATCTCTTAATAGATAAGAAGCCATAATACTATCACTGGCTTGAGTGTAAAGCGACATATCCCTAAGAAACGTGGTAGTTTTTCGACCAAATTAAACTGAGGACAGTCTAACACAGCCTCGAATCTTTTTCCCAACGGCTCAGAGTAGAAAGGACCGAAATAACATCCCAGGAGTTCTACGGAAGAAATATCAAAGACAGACTTGGTAAGGCTATCTACATAATATTTAAAATGCATGGATGGTGAATACAGATATTGCATATGTTTGGGAAATGAGTGAAGAATGACGGCATATATGCAGAAGACAGCGAAGTTCAGTCCTCTAATAATTTCATCTGTGAAATTTCGAAATGTCTAAGGAACATCCGATTGTTGCTTTTTCTAAACCACTTGATGTCACAAGAACTCGATTTTATACCCTTTTTCAGTTAAATGAGAAAATTGTTTCGCAATGCCAAGGCAAAGAAGAATTCCGCAGGTGTGTAATGGGATGATGTTCAAGCAAAGTTACATTGTTCAACCTTCAAAAATCGTCTACCGTTGGTCTTCTTAGTTATTATGTACGGTTAGAGGTCGTTTCATCATGCGATCAAAGTTCTGTTCCTATAATTGCCGTAAAATGCTAAATTCCAGCTAATACTAGTAGATTTGGATCGGAGAATATACAGTGACACGCCACAGTTAACATATGGAAAAGAATTTTTACAAGTAAATAATTTTGTATAATACCTCGAAAATATGTACGGAACAGTTTTTATGGGTCTTGATAGGCGGAAAAATATAATACAAGTGAAGCAGACTACGTCTGAGCAGTACCTTCATCAGAAAGCGCAGACACTGTTGCGACAACGAACTTGTAAGACCAACCATAAGCAGTAATTGTTTAAATGTCAAGAAAATGTTAGTTACTTCACAAAAGTATAGGGAATTCTGACAACCGAGGAGTAATGTTCTAACCCGAAGAGATAAAAATAGCTCCTACAATTACTTACATATCTGGTTACGTTTGGACAGACTGACTATTTGTAACCATTTAGTCTTGCATGTTACAAAGCGGGTTATCAGCTTAGTAAATTGTCAAAATTATGCTTTAAAATGTGCTCACATTGCTGTTGAACGAATCGGTCACAGATTTCCCATGTGGATACCGCATGTTACAGGCGGTGGTGACAGCGTCAACCTTAATTCGTATATTTCTATATGTGAGTTTCCACATAATAATATCCACTTGTATATAATAAGTCTGAACCTAATAAAGCCTGTTCGATTACTTTAGTCATAAATTACAGATTTTACACACTAAAGTTATTGAAGTCCTCTCCATGTCAATCATCCTGTAAATTATAAAAAACGACATAAAAACTTGTTCTCATGAATACAGATTATTTTTTTCCTCAATCCTTAAAATAATTCAAATAAACTTGTCAGTCCATACATTGGTTTTGGTTAGAACTAGATATTAAGGACAAGGGTTCATGTTGTAATCACAAATTGACAACAGGAATAATCATGTAGCCAAAATGAGTGAACGAATCTAGAAAAGAAAAGCAAGGCATGTTATCTGACTGGGTCATCCATAAAATATGGTAGCATCAGATTAACACTTATTTCAGACATTACGGAGTGTCGATTCGCCAAATACAATCCATGGAAACAGAACTGGGTATTTGGCACGTTCAACATTACCATTGCTACTCTATGTTGACAGAAAGCAATCTTTTGTGGTTATCTTAGACGTGTTCGGGAATATAAAAGGGTACTTCTACAATTTCATCGAGTGAAACAATGCTCAACGTTGTCACGTCAATAAGTGTATCGTGGACTGGTAAAATGGTCATGTTAACGTTCACGTAGTCAATGAATTTATCATATTACGACGTGATTTTTATTTAAAAAATTAGATTATACTGTGATTTTTGCTGTGACCTTATTTTTTTCACAATGTCAGACTGTGTTACACCGGACACGTGCATTACACGTATGAATGATATCCTATGCCACAGAAGGCTTTGCAGCGACACCAAAAAGCCAACGTAGAAAAACAGAACGGGACAAGCCGATCATCATCGCTTACTAGGATTTTGGGAATGATAATTTCCGCTTTATTCTGAGTGGTCACCAATTTGACTGCCAGAATTACGAATCGAAGTTAAGTTCATTTTCAATCATCTGTTCTAAACGTAATATCTGAATTCCACTCAATGGTCTAAAATTCACATTCTCGATTCCGATTGCCTCGTCCCTATACTATACTGTCACCGACTATCTAATATGCATTCACAAGATGCCGAATTGCGTATCTAAATTTAAACATGACAGGTCTTAATTTCTGATGTACGATGGAACCAAAATACTAAATACAACCGTTACGTATAAACCTAGTTATGAGATTCAAAGGTGAGACACAATATCACGGAATACTCATAACAGAATTAAGCACTCTTTTCAATAACTCACTAATCCAGCCTACAACAATCGAGGAAAACAAAATGCACTAAGAAAGTTTATTGTAGCTTTGACTGAAGATGATACAATATGAAAGTCATGTTTATTCATAAAAGAATAAAAGTTTTGTGATGACAGACTTACCTTGGAGTACACTTTTTAAGAACTTGAAAATGGAAAGTTTTTAAAAAAAGGAAATCCTATTTAGCTAAATCTGATTGAATCTCTTAAAAGTATTACATTGCATAAAGAAGAAACAAATAGTTGTTAACATTGACCAAATATCATCTCTTGAAAATATTTCCAAGAGAAAACACAAGATTATAGAATTTTCGTCAAACCTACTGAATTTCTACAGAAAGATGGAAATAGTTTTAATTTGATCGGTAGTGTTTTTTATAAGTGAAAGAATAAAGAAAAGTGTATTGCTGGCTAATTCATACGATGAAAGATGATGGTTTCAACTAAGAAACAGTAAGACACATTTATAATACGAAGTGACTAAAATAAATCTACTTGTTTGTAAGCTTCTACCTTCCTCCACATATACGAATTTAATTTCGGTCAATAAAAAAACTAACTTTCTAAAAGTAAAGAAGGCAGAATATTCTGTTTGAACCACATTATTGCATACAATAATGACAGTGAAGTAGGTTGTTGATGAGTACCACTGGTACCATTTTGAAATAGTTCTTCAATTCGTGAAATAGGCCATTCTATGACTTCAATATATTCACCTTCTTCATGTAATCCACCACCAGCGTTAGGAACTTTCTGATTTTCATGCACTTCAGCATAGTATAAAGTTACTTCAGTACCTGCTAATCCAACACTTGAACTGAAATTAGAAAATAAAACAAGTTAAGTGAAATTCATGCATATCATTATTATCATCAGATTCTCTGTAACTAAATATAAATCAATGTAATTTGACCCAGAATATAAAATTTCACAAAAATAAAAATATAAAGTATCGAGCAGTTTTCATTATACAGTTCAAAGTATCATTATGTGTATAGATGAATTTCGAAGATTAAATACGACACAAGGTTTACATAAAATCATCAATGTTATTTTGAAACATTACATCCTTATAGCTTATTGTGTATTGATACGAAAAGATTTCAATGATGACAATTTTATTAAATCGATTACCAGTAAATGAACTGATTTTGTCAACAATACCGACAAATGTATAAAGGTCAATTTTTGTTAATAAGATTTTTGTGAGGACTAATGATACTTACTATATGACTATTTAGTATTGTAATGAACAAGAAGTCAGATAGAGAAGACCAATTTATTGTTTAATGCAAAATTACAGTGTTTTTGTAAAATATTAAAACCATACATCGAATATATAATTTGCATATCTCCCATCAGTTATCCTTTACATGCTTTATGATTTTTTCAATTCTGTTGTTATTACAACTACTAACTTTTTTATTCAGTTGAATCTTCCCGATTTTTTGTAGGCATGCATTCCATTTCCGATTGGTACTATATACTACTTATATCCGTCAATGTAAGTAGCAAATACCACAATATGAGCTAAGTAAGGTTTGAATCTGTAATCCACTGGTCAGAAAACATGTGCTTTTACTCCTGAGATTATTGTTTCGCATTAGTTTAAAACAGAGATTTCGTGAAAACTAGTTTTATCTAAATTGAAAGAGTAAAAGCGAAAATTGTACAACAGATCTGTTTACTGAAATTATCAATAATAAATATGCAGTAGTTTGATTGCAATCAACCTTGAATGTATTCTGAAATTTATGAAAATTGTACATTCTCCAGTTTTGTTTGGATATCATAGGATGGGTTGTGAATTTTTAGAACACTTCAGTCAATAATTGTACTTTTGCAGTTATGTCGATTTTTGTCTGCCACTACAATCTCTTCAGATCATCCCATTTATTTTATCTTATTATTATTATTTATTATTTGAACACATAAATATTGGTACAAGAGAGCGCCAATATATATGCGCAACACATTTATTTTATCTGATGACATACAAGATAAGCTAGAAACCATTAACTTTAAAAGTAATACTATTAAAAGACGCCTTCCACCAAAATTCCAAGGGTATAATATTAGAATATACAAATGATTTACCAAAAAATACGATATACCAATATACTCTTGGAACCTAATCATACAATGGTAACAACCTGTTGACTATATGATTCCGGGAACTGAATCTACAAGTTGATGATCTTTCTTTTCATGATTAAACATTGGACAAATAGACAAAAATAAATCCAAGGACTAATGACAGAACATCAAAATTATTAATTTTGTTGAGAAACAAATGTATTCCAGCTTCCGAAAACTGTTCTTTAATTTCACTACGATACTTCAGCATCGATAAATTTTCGCAAGGAGCAATAGGTAATTTTCCTAAGCAGAGTTGAACGTTTTTATACAATCAGATCCCTTGATAAGTTTAAACAGAGAAAGGACAACACGGTTTGTAAAATAAAATGAATTAATTCTAGAGAACCAATATGCAAGTTAGTTGACTATAAATGGTCATTATTTTTTTTAAATAAAAGGGATGACAGTGCTTGAAATTATGAAATGAGTTAATTGCGGGTTTATGAATTATTAAATGAGTTGTAAAATGACAGAGCTTTTAATCATCTAAGCGAGGAAAATTTTAAAAGCAGGAAATTGACTTAAGATACAATTGAATATGAACATTATTTTTGATTTCTTTCAACATCCCAGTGTTTGGAAGAGATACATTTACAAGAGATAACACTTCTCGAAAAGCTATTTTTAATATTTGTCAATAAGCCATATGAAAAAATTGCATCTAATGTTCTTAAACCGATTATATGTATTAAAAAGAGCTAACATGTACACAAAAAGAAACCTACGCCTAATCTCATGACATAATAAGTGAAAACGACTTTTTGATCTTAAGCTGCAACATGAACAGAATTCACTTTCACCTCATGTATTAATATTAAGAGCCATAAATTATCATATGCATGAACAGGTAACTTACTAAAACGAATTTATTAAATGCAAGGAATCTTCATTGATTTTATAGCCACATTCTTCCAAAACCTCTTGAACAGCATATAATTTTGGATTCTTTTGAACTCCATCGATTATTCCAGCACACAGTTCTAATGTTTCCCCAATTTTGCTAGATGGGAGATTATTCTCACTGCTTTCAACTGGACCATCTGTTACACTTCGGATAAGTCCAAGCTTTCTCAACTTTGAATAGTATACAACTAAAATGAAATATAATGACTGCTTTAAACTACTTCCAGTATTTGAGAAAATGCCATACACAAACTTAAAATACATTAATGATTATATTTCTACATTTCTTACTACGATAGTTTGAATGACTCAGGGACAAAGTTTGGTTGCGGCATCAAATGATGTTAAAGTCATGGTAAGTTTTAACAAGTAATTAAACAAGATTGTGGATCTCCCGCTGATCCAATTTAGCACATCGTCCTATATTTGTACTTAACTTGAAACTTACAAAATCTGGAACTGACGACTGAGAGGAACATAACGCTAATGGCTGATATTTTTTAGGCTTTCAAGGGAGATTATGAGCAGAACACATTTTTAATAACTATCGGAAACGAAACTCCGAAGGTAATGTAACTCACTTACTAGGTATATATTCGTACAGTTGATTATGAACCGCTACCTGAGAGATGGTGATACTATATGATAGACTAAGTGGAAACACGTCAATCTGGGTCCAAACGTTTAACATATAAACTGAAAGCTGAATGGTTCAACCACTAAGTCATAGCTTCATTACAGAACCATTGAACTTTGTAAATGATATTGCTCGTCATAGAAGGGATATATAAGATTTCAAGAAAACTTAAGCTTCGGAGCATAAAAACTAGCATTATTATTCGTTAGTTATGGAAATTTTGTCAAATAACACCCAACTGGTTCATAATCCACGATAGCAGGTGTTGGTGATGTTTGTAATCTTACTGTACATCAACCCAGAAACCCCGTCCACGATGTTGTTAGCTGTCGAGCAAGAGTTAAGGGATATAATTTATTTATTTAAACAAACCTTGTCACAAGGAGGCACCAAATATATATGCGCCACATAAATCATTCGATTTGTGTAACGGCTTGGATACTGCTCAGGTGCCCAAACCGAAGCAAATGGTTCCCTTAAGGGGTCACACCCGGAGTCTTCGACCTAAAGGTGTGATCCACAAGGCAGTGAAGCAACGTCATGAGATGCAGTCCCATGGTAGCCGGTGATCAACAATCGGCTCATATGCTATTTGTCCCTTCAGGATACTGGAGCCTATGTGCACCATTGGTTTGGGATCAGGGTTTTCCAACTCCCCCTAGGTGGACTCTCCGTGTCCACCAACCCAGTTAAAACGCCAGATATTTGCTTTCCGTCCTCTCAATTTCGTAAGTAACACCCCCGCCTCGAGAAGGCAGTATGATTTCCCTGGCAGTGGTTGTATGCACGTGGACATGTGAGAGCATTTCGAGAGGGAGGACTGACTCTTTCTACTCTCGGCTTTACGAAGGCATTTGAGGGCACGGGATATAATCAATGAGGAAGTTTTCATGCAGGTAATTATTAGCATAGCCATTAGCTTGAACTATTGTCCAATCATATCTATTTATATCTCACACCCAACGAAAATTTCCGTGAGTTAACACTATAATGCGTAGGTGACTAACGTGATGGTGGCGGACGTAATGGGGTTTAATGTAGATAGAGAATAATCACCAGAAACTTTCGTAACACTCGAGGACGAAGTATGTCACAAATCAAAGTTTAAATAGACCGGTATTAAAGATTCATAAAAAAAGGGTTGAGACTAGTAAAGGGCCTATTAAAACATCTTAGGGCAGCAGTACTGTAAACCTTTTCAGAATACAGGAATCAGGGTTAATGGTTGGAAATCCTATGGTCTCAATAATGTGAGGGAAACAAGTTTCAACTACAGTTTTTCAAAACACGACGGAACAGTAAATGACCCATGATGCTTTAGTCCTATTTACCAAACAGCTAATATCCACCTGTTAAAAAAACGGAGATATGTACTGACTTTGTTTAACTTTATTTCAGGTACAAGCTAAGGTGCACAGTAACTTGTTGGTTAAGTTGCTTGGCAATTAGCTTCACAAAGTAAGCTCTAAATGAGTATGGAATAAATGAAAAACAAGTGAAATACATGTACCGAGAAACAATTGAATTTTTCTGTACACACTTCTACTGATTAACCTATCTTGGTTATTTAGTACAGTATGAAAAGCAGCTTATGGTCAAATCCTTTTCCGCATGTGGATTTGAGTGTAGAACTTGGTGTTAAACCCACTCAACAGCTTTTTTGTGATGTTTTGGTCGAAAAACGACATAGTAATAGTACAAACGCAACATTTCGATAATTATTTTGAAATTTACTGAGAGGAAAGCAGCTAAAGTATTATTTAAATGCCAGGCTGAAGGGTATTAGATTTAGCGGGATGTCACTGGTTATATAGAGAGTGATGGTGTTTTAAATTAAATCAGCTTCGAGCGATAGACTGATTATACAGTTTTTGATCAACCAATTTGTCAAGAGAATATGTTCAAGGCCCTGCCAAGAAAAATGAATATAAGTACCAAATGCTGGAATTAAAGCAATTATGAAACTGAAAACACTTAATATACAAAACAACCTTTCTATATGAAGTTTATCAAGAAATGGAACATGAATTGTATAAAAACATAACTGTGATTGGTGATAAATCAGAAATAAGTGAGATAACATCATTATCGGCATAAAATCCTAACGACTACTGAAAACCAAAGTGCAATAGAGGTGGAGAATTCAACATACCTGGGCGAAACTGCTTTACGAAAAGTAACGACTTTTTCTCAGAATGATACAGAAGTATTGAAACACTGGATGTAATCAGGAAGTTTAGTAAACTAACCTATCATGTGCTAGAATACCATCCCATGTGCGTTGCCGACCATCCTATAAGCCAAAATAATTGAAGACAATATGAATTAACAAGTATTCTCATGGATCTAAAATAGATTTAACATGGTGGTCGCAAGATCGATTACTTTACTTTAGGGTAATTTTTATATACTAGCAAGGAACTGTTACTATCAAACTTAGGTGACAGAAACTCAAGCATTGTTACGATGAAACTCACAAACGAATAGTGAATATGCGGTTGCATTTCATTTAACAAATCGTGAAAATACATGTGGGGGACTGGAATGTTGGGGAGAAACTGATGCGATTAGCCAAAAATATTCATATGTAAGGTCAGACCAAATACATTGCATACGTCTTACAACACTACCGGTTTGGGTTAAGTCGTGTACTGCATATTTCATCGATGGACTCCGTAAGTCAATTTTGATCAATCATAAGACCACATATAGAAATCATAACGGCGGACTGAGCGTACTCGGTTTCTGCCATGCACCAAATCCCGAACTTTAATATTATATCAAGCTCTTCAATACTCAGTTTGATCCACTCATTTAAAATGCCAGTACTGTGGTACTACTAATAACACTAAAATGATTTAGAATCTAATTGATGAGACTATAATTTACGGACGAAATTAATTCATTTATTTGAGTAAATGGTTTAGGTATTTTGCTGATGTCAATTCGTGAAATCCTATCTGATTCCTAACCCTAACTACCAACTGTAAATAATAATCCTTATTTTCCACACTGCTTTACAACCCTCATTTAGCCGTAGTATGTAAGTGGACATTCTCATAGTCTCTTTAGCGTCACTCAAAGGTCGTCCAAAAATTATGGTCTCACCATTTAAATTAACTATTACTCCAGAAAAATACCGAAAGAATACACGTTCACACATTATTTTGCATCAATGTGATCTTCCTATTGAACTCTTTAAACTTTGTCTCTAAAAATGATTAGTACGCAACACGAAGTATGAGTCGGCAAGAATTCAAAACCACGGTGACATGGACAAATGTTGCACTACTTCCTCACAGCATGCAGGAAAGAAAATTTCTCGGAGCGCTTCCTCTCGATTTTTCTCCTATTATCTTAGGGAATGTTCTCCTTTCCCCTTTGCTTGGGTTGCCACTTTCATTAAATAATAATAACCAACATACATAAATATGGTATGCTGACTATTCAACATACCTACCTGGATAAAGTTCATTCGGTATGGCTTAATATATTTGGATGGTTCTTCAAGTTCGACTACATTTAGGTTAGAAATTTTGCGAGACATAGCTATATGTGGTCTAGACCACACTCGTAGGATTATGTAGTTTTTCCTAAGGTACAGCAGTTGATAGGATGCTATCACCGAGAGTATAGAGAAACGTCAGCTTAGCGATGGAAGCTAAATAAACTAGCACAGAAATCTGCACGTAAAGTGCAGAGAATGTTAGTTGATAGACCGAGAAATCGAAATTACCTCCTCCGTTTACAGTAACATTGAACACAAAAATAACGGTGAAAACTGAATTTCGCGCGATTCGGGTCGTCGAGTTTTATATATTAACTTACTTTATTAGGTTGCTCATACCTAAGGGCACTGTAAAGTTTTCAAAATACCATAATTGATATGGATCTTCTCTTAACAAAGTTATCATTTCTCTCGAATAGCAAAAATCTTCCAAAGTACGCGAAGCTTAAAAATAAGAGTCTTTTGGAATTTATCGATTTCTGCTTAACAGTACATCTTCCCTTGCATAATCAAACCTATGAACGAAAGGAAAGAACATCGATGAAATCACAAATGTCAGGACTTTTTGCAGAAGCAGTGATGGAAAGACTGGAAGCTCGAGTTTTACTAGTGTGGCGGTAAATATATCCCCAAAATAAATAAATTTGTGGAACTAGTGAAATGTCGCTGAGCCCTACTTAAATCATCTAGCGGTCGAATCACTGATTATAGAACAGTTCTTCGATCCTCGTCGAAGTCGGGGCCGAATAATGCACAGCAGTTATCGTAAGACATGGTTTGGTCCATTCTGGGCTGATCGCACCTTGTTTCTCGTACCTACTCATGCTTATATCATTTTGTAATAACTTCACCTGCGTTACGTGGTCATCAAAGTGGCCATGGTACTTGGATACGACGAAAGAACAATTCACGTTAAGTATTAACCTTGAGGAATGACTTTGGAGTTACCTGGTCATTCACATCTCTCCCGTCTAGCTTGACTGGACACACATTAGCCTAAACCTCTCTGTCACTTTATTATTTACAACGAAATTATTGTGGTCATTTGGAATAAGTATAGCAAAAAACTGATGTAATCGCCACAATCGATAAATATATCGGAGTTGACCCACCTAAGCAACTAATTAAAACTGTGAATATAGTTAGGTTTTTCTACCGTTTGCATTTTTCATCTGTTCTCACAATCTTCACAGTTACTATTATTGCCCGTCAAATTGTTTTAAAAAACACGACCTTTGATTTTCCGTTTTCGTCTTGATTTCACCATAGCATGACACTCTAATTATCGCTCACAAACACACTGCTGCATACACATGCCCATAGTTCTCAATTACCTTCTGTTATGATAACAGAACTCTAATGTAATTACTATCTACGGCTACATATCACAAGGATATACCCATCACATGCTTTATCTGAATATGCATCTCGGATCGTAGCAATCATAGTTGAAATTACTAACTACTTATAATTGTGGATCGCCAGACCTAAAGAAACACAAACACATCAAGTTCTGACAATTTAAGCAACACCCTGAATATTTCTCTCGTGTATATAATCCATATTCGATATAATAACACATTAATTTTCTTTCGTAATAACTTTGTCATTATTTTTGGAGTTGATATATTCTTGGTCCACTCCGGAACATTATGTAGGTATGTAGGATGAAGAATCAGGTCAAATGTCGACAACTGAAATTGACCTGTAGAAGACAGTTAGATGGTTAACAACCTCCAGTCAATATCAAGATAAAAAAACAAGCTAAGTCATATCTGTGGATATACTTCACGTTGTCAAATCAGCTAGTTGTGTTGCAGCCATTGGTCACAGTTATGTTTTCGTCCCTTTAGTCACCCAAGTATAAATATTCTTAAGGAATTTTTACTATAGATTTAATTGGAGGAATGACGATGTCAATGATTTCGTCTTCCACCATGAATGACTGCACTACGCCTGACCCACCTGCAGCATTTTAGAGTGAAATCTTAACACTTTCGATGTAAGCTAGCAGAAACGTCGAGTTAATAATTCCCATTTCATTTTGGCTGGTTTCGCGGTTCCATGTCGAAACTGCGGATGAGAGCTAAATTTATTCTCACTCATCAGTCACGTGTGAGGATATATAGATAGCTTACTTCTGCCAAAAGCTTGTGCTGATAATGTTTTTCAGAAAAACAGTGAAAGCCGCATAATGAAATCATTGATGTGGTTTAAAGATCATGTAATCCCCTTTCTATAGTTGATTCTAGGTGGGCCAAAACTAAAAAATTAATGAATTGTTTTACCGAGGTCTACTCGAAGAATATTGCTGATAACGTTTTTCTTGATTGTGCTCCTGATACACGACTCATAGTACCACGGCTCATAACTCAGTAAGGTACTCTTCAAACAAACAGTTGCCTACAACCCACTGACTTGCCGGATCCTAATGATCCAGGTTCGCCATAGTCATCATTCGTTAAGGACACAATTCCAGAACCACTCATTGTGTTGTTCATTATATCCCTTTCCCTTACGGACTTCATAATAAATCGAAGGATGTCATCATCGGCCTATCTCACGGAAAAGTGGGCTCATTCCTGTCTGGTTAGCACAGCATGTGAAGTAATATGAAATATGATCTAGTCCAAGTTGTTAGGTGGCATGATCTTTTCGCTCCCGAACACCTTGGGTTTCAAAATAAACGTTTCCGCTTTATCGGTGCAGTAGTGGTGGGCAAACAGACCGAGTTCCCACCGGCTGACGTGTTCACAGTTTTCAATAATTTTTTTCACTCAGGAATTATTCGAAAGCTTGTCAACTTTACGGTTGCACGCATCATACAAAAGTGGATTGGAAAATTCCTTAGTATCTGCGGACGAAAAGCGTTAGTAAATATTAAACTATCTGGACTAACTTAAGCTCTTAGTGTCGACGACTTACCAAAACAAATAGTGGCAGATAATGTGGAAGTCTGGAGAACAGTAGATCAGAACACTGATCATCTTGATCTGTAAGCCAATTTAGAAGTGATCAGATAGTCCCTAACTATGAGTTTGGAGTTCAGTCCTTGTTAGCATGAGCTAAGATACATTTTATACAGTAGGACTAGCCAATATTTTGTCAGTCGATAGGCGAACCATGGAGCAACGGTAAGAGAGAGTGGGATTACTGACCAGTAAACATGATGATAGGGTGGTGACTTCAATTTACCCATGTGCTTAGGGCAGGACATTTTATAAAATTTCGGCTCTTATGGTCCATAGGGATCTAACTAACCAATGGTCTTAATGTTAACTTAATGTGCGAAGAAACTCTTTGAAATCATGTTTGTGACGTTGAAATGCTTTTATTTCCTATCGTGTGACTGGATAGTTTGCTAAAATGAAACACTCCCATGGCCCCATAAGACCTAAAAATGTATAAATGAGCTGAAATAGCTTTGGTGAAAGAAGGGAGATAGCCAGATATGTATCAGAATACTGCTTTCAGTACCAGATTTTCTAACTGCACATAGTTCTAAACCTTCAGCTCCTTTTTAACCACCACCTTTTATGCGGTTCTTTGTCTATTCATTGACATATCCAAGCTTCTTTTCTTCAACCTATTGGAATGCTCTTGCCCAAAACTTACTTCAATAAATGAGAATAAGACTAAGTAGTCATACCTTAATTGTTCCAGCGCAAATGATTTAACTTTAATATTTATTAACATTGTCTGCTTGCTTCTTGTTCATTTACGTTCTTACTCTCCTTTTAGCCCCCTAAACGTATGCCGCCAAAAGCACATATGAAATGGGTGACTTTGTCCTGTGCCGATACTAGTGCCACAGATGTCCCAGAGGGATACAAAATCGAGGTTTCTTAAAACTCTGAACATTAACTGAATTTATTTTTGACAGTCAGTTGCACGACACAGAGCAACCTCCATAAAGCGCACTAACTCTCATATCGACGATACGAAACTTACTAATATTATTAACATTCGTATGTGAAAAGTGTTATTCCCCATAATTTTATAAAATATTATTATAACTGAGTACCCTACTACATTGAATCCTGTATCCTCGGTAACAACTTGATCCTGTCTGTAAACTGGCAAATGTCATGTAACTCACTGTTATTTGAAAAAAATAATCACTAAACAATAGGTTAAAAACAACTGTAAATTCCAATGCATCAGCCACTGAAAGCTTTAGAGCTTCACTGTCAGTTCACTAGGATTTCAAATACTTTGGTAAAAATTTATCGGACTACATGCTAAGATAGCGGAAAACCTTCTTAAATGACCTTAGTCGATATATGTGCACTTAATAATGCCACCAGAATAATAGACCTTGGTCAGAATCTTGGACATGCCATGATGATGATCATATTACTACCTGATCGACGAGATCCTACGTGGAAGTCACATTATTGTCTATACAAACTCGTCCTATGTGATGGTTAGCAGTATGTTTTGTAGGAATTCGAAAGAACACATTTGACTGGAGATAGAATAATATAATAAATATGAAAAATGAGAAGTTACATTGACTTATAACGTTTGCCTGAGCAAGAGGTGTTATACTGATTAAGTGTTCCCGCGTTCCCTATCTCTCACCTACTGCGAGTGTCAGAATAATGAATGTAAATCTTTCCGGTTACAACATGTTCAACTTCAAACATTGTGTGGTTAGAATTCAATACCACTACAACCACACCTAGAATACCGCATCTTTTAGCTGGTCTATGCCTAATTGGGGGTGCTGAAATAAATGAGTGTAGGAACTTAGTGATAGGTCTTACCAAACACCTACGACAAGCAAATAGGAGCCTTAACCACGTACAGAAGGAAAGAGTTCCAATGGTTCGACGAAAGTTGGAAATCAGCTAACGGGTGCTTTTGTGATGAGTGTGTATTCAACGTATTTTTAGTTGCTGTATCAATATAATCGTACTTTTTTGATCGGCTTAATATTTATAAACAAATTACTGCTACATTAGTGCAGTAAAGAGACCATTTCATATTCCTTCACAATCACGATTGTACACAACTTTCAACAACGCTCACAAAATATTCGCGACATTTAGCCAGGCTCAGTAGTATTTAGCAGGATATTAACTTTAAAGAGAAAAGAAGGAAAAGTAACAATAAATATGAAAATTTTTAATAATAATTTCTGTGAAGGAGAATAAAAATGAACGGTAATATACGTATTACAAAAAGAATTTAAAAAATAAATCTTTAATACTGTAATGTTAGTGGTAGAATAGGAGTTTATGCGGTC